GGGTGACCATGGCTCACTGCTGAGTCGAAAGACAGCAACAGAACTAGGACTTCTGAAAGTTGTAAACTCTGTCCACAGAAATGCCTATTCCATCCCCAAACCAGCTCCTCCATGAGTACCAAGACATCTTTCAAGGCATACACATTGATGAAGCTACACATTGATGAGTCAGTGCAACTTGTGACACAGCCACACAGGAGGATTCCTTTCCCCATGAGAAAAAGTGTGGAATCAGAATTAAACCAGCTACAGGAAAAAGGAGTCATCGAGAGAATCAGCGGCCCAACGCCAATGGGTGTCTCCGATAGTTGCTACACCAAAACCAAAGCACCCTGACAAAGTTCGCATCCGTGTGGATATGCGCCTGCCGAACACAGCGAGAGCGCCACATCACACCAACTGTGGAGGACCTCATCCACGACCCGAATGGAGCTGTAGTATTCTCCAAGCTGGATACCATCAACTTGAGCTACATCCAGATTCAAGGTATATCACCACCTTCACTACACACACTGGCCTCTGGAGGTACACCAGACTGAACTTTGGCATTAACTCGCTGAAGTGTTCCAAAATGTCATTCAAGGAGTGCTACATGGTAGTGCTGCACGATTCTTGCTCAAATGTGAATCACGATTTTCCTCCATAAGAATTGAGATCACGATTCTCATCGTTTCAATGAAAATAATGGTGACGTTGCAGGTGATTTAATAGGTTTGTGGTGTTACCTGACGTCTTTGCGACGATGCGAGAACAATGCTTACAGTGGACGACTTTTTGTAAGTCATCATCAGGATCAAATCCAAAAAAGTTCCACACACTGGATGAATGTGGTCCTTTTTTCGGCACAAGCACAACTTCCCTCTCACTCTCGCCAGAGTCGCCACCGGGATTTTCATCTGTGTTGTCATTGTCCTCCTCGTCACTAATTTCTGTGTCACTCATTTCTGTTTTTCTTGTACTACTAGTCGCTCTCGTCACTCTTTGCTAATCAGTGCTAATGCTAACGCTTCTGTAAACATACTGCCAGCTCCTGCCCTCACGTGCTGCAGTCAGTGAGTGTTGCCAGGTATACTTATTATAAGCCACATTGGGCTTACCTTTATGTAAAGTTGCTTGGTAGTAAGTAATAATGGTTGTTGCGGTTGTGAGCTTGTAGATAGGTTATTTTCCTTCCGCAAAAACTGGCAACACTAGTGGCTGCAGCGTGAACACGAGAGGAGGAGAGACAGAACACTACCATTTGCATGCGATCATGGTACTTGAATGTTAAATGTATAGAGTATATTTGCTTTACATCGTTTGAGTATGATTGACATTGCAAGTTGGTATTATTCAGAAGCAAAATAATTTAAAAAAAAAAATAAAAATAAAAAAATCAGCATGACGTCATAGGATCGCTGTAATTTAGAAATGAGATCGCATAGGTGTCTGAATCGAGATCACGATCTTTTTTCGATTAATCGTGCAGCACTACTACATGGCATTCCCAACGTCAGGGACATGAGTGATGACATCATTGTGTATGGGAAAACACAAGAGCACAACAGTAGCCTCAAAGCTGTTTTTCAGAGACTGAGGGGGAAAAATATCACACTCATTGCTGATAAATGTGAATCCAGTAAACCAGAGCTTGAGGTTTTTGGCTATATTTTTTCTGCAAAAGGCACATCTGCAGATCCTAAAAAGGTCACTGCCATCAAGAACCTTCCTCCACCCCAAAACGCATCAGAGGTTCGCAGTCTGCTCGGGATGATACCATACTGCTCACGTTTCATTCACGACTATGCCACGATCTCTGAACCTTTACGTCAACTAACAAAACAAGACACTACTTGGTCATGGGGACCACAACAACAGTCGGCAATGGAGAGGCTAAAATCAGAGCTGATGGAAAACACTACAATGGCTTACTTTGACCCGAGGAAGAAATCCAAACTACTGGTTGATGCCAGCCCTGTTGGTCTAGGTGCCATACTCAGCCAGCGCAGCCCTGACAAAGAGGTTAATGACCACATTGTTGCATATGCCAGCCGAGCACTCACACCAGTGGAACAGCGCTATTCTCAAACAGAGAGAGAAGCTCTGGCAATCCTCTGGGCATGTGAACACTTCCACCTATATCTCTATGGGTCACACTTCACTTTCATCACAGATCACAAACCGCTTGAACTGATCTTCAACAACCCAAGACTACAACCATACAGCTACATTATCAAGTACAAAGCGGGAAAAGATAACCCTGCCGATTACATGTCCAGACATCCCATTGAGGGAAACATACCAAGCAGATCGTCTCGCATGGCTGAGGAATATGTCAACTTTGTCATTGACAATGTTGTTCCAAAGGCAATGACACTTGAAGAAGTTCAAACAGAAACAAAGAATGATCCTACATTATGTAAAGTGATGCATTTTTTGAGTGCAGGACACTGGAGACATGCACCACAGGACTCAGACTACACTGATTATCCAAAGGACTACCGCCTACGAAACGAACTGACAGTCAACGCTGGAGAGAATGTCATTCTCAGAGGAACACGACTTGTGCTACCTACCTCTCTCCAACATAAGGCAATGGCCTAGCCCATGACGGTCATCTTGGCATTGTTAAGACCAAACAACTAGTAAGAGAAAAAGTATGGTTTCCAGGCATAGTGGAAAAGATGATAAAACACTGCATACCATGTCAAGCAGCAACCTCCCAGAATCACATGGAACCACTTAATATGTCTGAACTTCCCAAAGGTCCATGGCAAAATGTTTCTATTGACTTTACAGGACCTTTCCCCATCAGGTGATTACCTGCTTGTGGTTATTGATGAGTATTCCAGGTTCCCCGAAGTTGGGATACTAAAGTCCACAGCAGCCACTACAGTGATTCCAGAACTGGACAGAATCTTATCATCCTATGGTATCCCACATGTGGTGAAAACAGATAATGGACCTCCATTCAAAGATTTCAGCCACTATCTCGGATTCAAACACAGAAAAAATAACACTGTATTGGCCGAGAGCTCATTCAGAAGCTGAACGCTTCATGAAAACAGTGAAGAAAACAATAACAGCCAAACACACTGAAGGAAAACCATGGAAACAGAACCTCTAGTTTTCTTAGAAATTACTGTGCATCCCCACACGGTACTACACAGCTGACTCCAGCCGAGTTAATGTTTGGGAGAAAACTCAACACCACTCTTCATGTGACTCAACATCACACACCTGACACCAAACTCCAAGATATTGATCAGCATGCCGACCGCAAAAACAGAGCTCGACCTTCTATCCTCAAACCAGGTGACATTGTGCTATGCCGTCAGAATATCAAAGGCAAGCTCATGACTCCTTATGGAAGCAAACCTTACACCATTGTAAAGATCAGAGGATCAATGGTGACAGCAGCTCGCCCAGGACATGAGATAACACGAAACTCCTCACACTTCAAACGGCTCCCACCTTCAGTTCCTATTGGATCTGACTCAGATGAAGAGGATGATCTGGATCTACAACTTCCTGACCCACCAGATGAGGAAACTCATCAGCTCCAAAACGAGAATATCAACCCCGAAGGTCCTGTTCCAACCAGATATTCAATAGGCGCATTCACACCGCAGTACTTTTCCCACAAAGGTTCATGAGAACTTAGTTCATGAGAACTCTTTTGTCGCGTTCACACCAAAAAGAGCCGGTACTCAAATTAGTTCATGAGAACCTTTTTACCCCCACGAAAGTCCCTGCTAGAGAGCAGAGAGCTGCTAGAGAGCAGGGACTTTCGAGCGGCTCTCTTGTGAGAAAAGAGCTATATTTCTGATTGGCTGGGCGGATTGCAAACCACGCCCCGTAAAACTCCCAAAAAGTTTTGTGAAGCCGCCATTTTATTATCCTCGCATTAGCATTATTAGCATTAGCATTAGCGCAGAAACGCAGAGAGACTAACTTATGGCAACACAAAATAAAACATGGGAGTGGTGGAGATGAGGAGGTGTCGGCGTTCTGGCGATTTACTCGGAAGGCTTCAGTAGAAGCTCCGGGGACTTCCGGCCGGGGACTTTGGGCGGCAGTATACGCCATGAAGTGGTTTGCGGCCTGCCAGTAAACCCAAAGCAGAAGAAGAAGTGACGTCAGCGGCTTCATTTGCCTAATCCACCCCCAGGGACTTATTCCGGTGTGAACGCGATCTGTACTTAGTTCATGAGAACTAAAGAGTTCTCATGAACTAAGTTCTCATGAACCTTTGTGGGAAAAGTACTGCGGTGTGAATGCGCCTTTTCAGAACAAACAGGAGACCACCACAACGTCTCATTGCTGAAATATGACTTAAAGAAGTCAAGAGACTGCAGATAGTTGAACGATTACAAAAAGGACATTTTTGCTAGTGACGAAGAAGACTCAGTCATTTAAGTTAAAACATTGAGACTAGGGCTGCTCAATTAATCGTATTTTAAATCGCGATTACGATTACGGCTTGCAACGATTACGAAAACAATGTAATCTAAATAAAACGATTATTTTTTTATAATTTCTTTTTGGTTTTTCAGTTGAATTATACTTAAAGTTCAGGGTAATCAGCTGTTAAAAACATATTGTTCAAATTTTTTCTCCAATAAATGGATGTTTTCAAAGTCAATGAATAATTGCATTTAATAATCGCAATTACAATTATTGACCCAAATAATCGATATTATGATTTTTGCCATAATCGAGCAGCCCTAATTGAGACATTCATTTCTTTATTTGATTACTAAGAATAAGAGACCTTTCTTACTGAAATTCTTATTTACATTTCGTTAATTTCAAAAGTCAATGTTCATCTGAAATAAGGGAGGGATGTAATGCGGCGGCGGCGGCGGGGGGTGTGTGTGTCTACAGAAGGTCCAGTTGTGATAGACACGGTTCGCCACTGAACCATGGTAACTGACGGTTTGTAATAACTTCTTTTCAGACCCAAAAAAAGTGAATTATAATTTAAGCATTCAGCAAAAAAGACCCTGAGGAAGAAGCTGCAGATTTGTAGAGAACAAAATGATTCTTTAATTGCATGGGAACAAAAAGAGCATCATCGACGCTCCGGCAGCCGAGAATCACTTAAAATAAAAATCAGATTTACACTCAAGTGTGGAGAAATTAAAACGCTGCAACACTTTAATCCTCCGTAGAAACAGAGGAGCTCTGAAACACTGAAAATAAACACCGTCACTAAAATCCCCTCACCCGTTATCAACAATTTAACTTTTTTTTAAATCTTCCATCTTCTAATGTCATCTCTGGTTCGACCAAAGGACTGATGACAACTGTTTAGAAACAAAAAATAACCACTTTCTTTCATTTGTAGTTCCCTAACGTCAAAATTAGTGCGTTTAAGACGTATAAAAAAGGAATATCCGAGTTATGGAAACCCATCTCTCCAATTGAACATTTAAAACGATTTCTCTCCGAGTCGTTAGCTTTCAAATGTTTCTCCGGTTTGACCAAAGGAATAATTACATTTGTTCAGCAACTAATTAACAAATATTTGCAGTTTCTTTACGTCAACATCGGTGAGTTTGAGACGTATTAAAAGAAATAAAAACCCACTTTCTTTCTAAACAAAGTCTTTTTAACGATTTTTCTTGGAGTCGTTATGTTTTACATCTTTTCTCTGAAGGAGAGCCTCCGTCGTCTGACGCGACACGAGTCCGTTTCAGAGCGCCCCCCCTCGGGGGCCGGGGGTCCTCCTCTGAGTCCGAGGAGGTGAGGAGGCTCTCTCTCAAGACCTCCTTTCTCAGGACCCCCTCTCTCTGGACCTCCTCTCTCTGGACCTCCTCTCTCTGGACCCCCTCTCTCTGGACCTCCTCTCTCTGGACCTCCTCTCTCTGGACCCCCTCTCTCTGGACCCCCTCTCTCTGGACCTCCTCTCTGAGGACCTCCTCTCTCTGGGGGGGAGGAGCTGCAGTCCGGTGGCGCCCTTTAGTCCCACGGCTCAAGGAGTCCAAAGGGAAGGAACTGCTGCCTGCCTCACATCCCCCTTTATCTCCAGTCCGGTGTCCAGCCTCCTCCGGGCTCAGACACACAAAGTCAGACGGACTCAGCTCCTCCTCTTCCTCTCTGGGTTTCTGCACCTCCCCAGATGAAGAGGAGGTGAAATCGTCCACAGATATGCACGGGTAGTTGCAGGAGTCGACGGCGGAGAACAGCGGCGTCGGATCGGGTCGATCTTCGGCTCTGGAGACCACGTTCATGCGTCGGCGGCGCATCACGTTCCTCCTCCTCACCGCGCTGCGACGCTGCTCATCCTCGCTGCTGGAGCTGGAGGAGGAAGAGGAGGAGGAAGAGGAAGCAGCGGCGACGGCGGTGGGGAGCGACGGCGAGGAGGAGGAGGAGGAGGCGGCACTGGAGAGCGCAGAGTTTTCTTGGGGGCTGGGGGAGCGAGGACGCGGCATCGGGTCCAACCAGAACTCAGAGTCCGAATCCTCGTTTACAAGGAACCCCGAAACTTGGCTCTGGTTTCTCCTCCTTCTCCTCCTCCTCCTCGGACGATCCTCCGTAACCAGTGAGGAAGAGGAGGAGTTCTCTGAGTCGCTGTGAGGAGCAGCAGCAGCAGCAGCAGCAGCCGGAGGAGGAAGAGTAAGAGGAAGTGTTGGTGTGGTTCTGGTGGTGGTTCTTCGTCCGCGGGCGTGCAGCTGCATGATGGCCTCCTCACTCAGGTCCGAGTCCGAGTCGGAGCTCCAGCCCTCGATCTCGCGGCGCACCAGCGAGTCGAAGAAGGCCATCATGCGGGGGTCCTCCTGGATCGACTGGCTCACGTAGTCGTGGGAGAGCCCGGAGCCGGAGTTCAGCACCAGGGAGATGTACTCCTCGTGAGTGTACAGGCTGCGGGACTTATCCTCCACCCGGCCCTCCAGATCCCCCAAACTCTCCGGCTGCTGGTACGGACTCCACGCCTGAGGGGGAGGAACAATAATAAAGTCAAGCACATCAAAAGATAGAATGCCAGAATGAAAAACAGAAAACTTGGTATCATTACTGCAGAAAGTTCCCACATGTATCCGATCTCATCTAAAGAGTCCTCTCCTGCTGATGTTCAGGTGTATATCAGTATGTAGTGTCTCTACTTTAAAGAGTCCTCTCCTGCTGATGTTCAGGTGTATATCAGTATGTAGTGTCTCTACTTTAAAGAGTCCTCTCCTGCTGATGTTCAGGTGTATATCAGTATGCAGTGTCTCTACTTTAAAGAGTCCTCTCCTGCTGATGTTCAGGTGTATATCAGTATGCAGTGTCTCTACTTTAAAGAGTCCTCTCCTGCTGATGTTCAGGTGTATATCAGTATGTAGTGTCTCTACTTTAAAGAGTCCTCTCCTGCTGATGTTCAGGTGTATATCAGTATGCAGTGTCTCTACTTTAAAGAGTCCTCTCCTGCTGATGTTCAGGTGTATATCAGCATGTAGTGTCTCTACTTTAAAGAGTCCTCTCCTGCTGATGTTCAGGTGTATATCAGTATGTAGTGTCTCTACTTTAAAGAGTTCTCTCCTGCTGATGTTCAGGTGTATATCAGTATGTAGTGTCTCTACTTTAAAGAGTCCTCTCCTGCTGATGTTCAGGTGTATATCAGTATGTAGTGTCTCTACTTTAAAGAGTTCTCTCCTGCTGATGTTCAGGTGTATATCAGTATGTAGTGTCTCTACTTTAAAGAGTCCTCTCCTGCTGATGATCAGGTGTATATCAGTATGTAGTGTCTCTACTTTAAAGAGTTCTCTCCTGCTGATGTTCAGGTGTATATCAGTATGTAGTGTCTCTACTTTAAAGAGTCCTCTCCTGCTGATGTTCAGGTGTATATCAGTATGTAGTGTCTCTACTTTAAAGAGTTCTCTCCTGCTGATGTTCAGGTGTATATCAGTATGTAGTGTCTCTACTTTAAAGAGTCCTCTCCTGCTGATGATCAGGTGTATATCAGTATGTAGTGTCTCTACTTTAAAGAGTTCTCTCCTGCTGATGTTCAGGTGTATATCAGTATGTAGTGTCTCTACTTTAAAGAGTTCTCTCCTGCTGATGTTCAGGTGTATATCAGTATGTAGTGTCTCTACTTTAAAGAGTCCTCTCCTGCTGATGATCAGGTGTATATCAGTATGTAGTGTCTCTACTTTAAAGAGTCCTCTCCTGCTGATGTTCAGGTGTATATCAGTATGTAGAGTCTCTACTTTAAAGAGTGCTCTCCTGCTGATGATCAGGTGTATATCAGTATGTAGTGTCTCTACTTTAAAGAGTCCTCTCCTGCTGATGTTCAGGTGTATATCAGTATGTAGTGTCTCTACTTTAAAGAGTCCTCTCCTGCTGATGATCAGGTGTATATCAGTATGTAGTGTCTCTACTTTAAAGAGTCCTCTCCTGCTGATGTTCAGGTGTATATCAGTATGTAGTGTCTCTACTTTAAAGAGTCCTCTCCTGCTGATGATCAGGTGTATATCAGCATGTAGTGTCTCTACTTTAAAGAGTCCTCTCCTGCTGATGTTCAGGTGTATATCAGCATGTAGTGTCTCTACTTTAAAGAGTGCTCTCCTGCTGATGTTCAGGTGTATATCAGCATGTAGTGTCTCTACTTTAAAGAGTCCTCTCCTGCTGATGTTCAGGTGTATATCAGTATGTGGTGTCTCTACTTTAAAGAGTCCTCTCCTGCTAATGTTCAGGTGTATATCAGTATGTAGTGTCTCTACTTTAAAGAGTCCTCTCCTGCTGATGTTCAGGTGTATATCAGTATGTAGTGTCTCTACTTTAAAGAGTCCTCTCCTGCTGATGTTCAGGTGTATATCAGTATGTAGTGTCTCTACTTTAAAGAGTTCTCTCCTGCTGATGTTCAGGTGTATATCAGTATGTAGTGTCTCTACTTTAAAGAGTCCTCTCCTGCTGATGATCAGGTGTATATCAGTATGTAGTGTCTCTACTTTAAAGAGTCCTCTCCTGCTGATGTTCAGGTGTATATCAGTATGTAGTGTCTCTACTTTAAAGAGTCCTCTCCTGCTGATGTTCAGGTGTATATCAGTATGTAGTATCTCTACTTTAAAGAGTCCTCTCCTGCTGAAGTTCAGGTGTATATCAGTATGTAGTGTCTCTCCTTTAAAGAGTCCTCTCCTGCTGATGTTCAGGTGTATATCAGTATGTAGTGTCTCTACTTTAAAGAGTCCTCTCCTGCTGAAGTTCAGGTGTATATCAGTATGTAGTGTCTCTCCTTTAAAGAGTCCTCTCCTGCTGATGTTCAGGTGTATATCAGTATGTAGTGTCTCTCCTTTAAAGAGTCCTCTCCTGCTGATGTTCAGGTGTATATCAGTATGTAGTGTCTCTCCTTTAAAGAGTCCTCTCCTGCTGATGTTCAGGTGTATATCAGTATGTAGTGTCTCTCCTTTAAAGAGTCCTCTCCTGCTTTAATGTTCAAAAAGTTCTTTATTTTTCTCATACTGCCTTCATAGTCTCACTTATTGTAAGCCTCTTTGGATAAAAGCGTCAGCTGAATGTCATGTGAGGATCCTTACACCGTTTGTGAAGACCAGTGTCTGAGGAAATCTGATTACCTTCACCTGATTTCAATGGGAGAAGATCATTCAAATTAAGAGAGCATTTTAGACATAGGGCTACATGATATTTGATCAAAACATTCGATTCATTGTTCTACCTTGTACCCAATAACGCTGAATAAATAAAGTATTCTAATGAAAGGGAATGATCGATTTACATCATTATGGTCACTTTAATTAAAAACATTATGGAGAGATTTTCTTGCAGGATCAGAATCGATCAAAGACGTGTTATTAAGTGGGATATGATTTGACATATAAGCAGCACCATATAATTTAAATGGTATTTTGACACGTTAAGTTAAATACAATGTAACTGAAGACCAGAGGAGCTTTTTTATTTCTCACTCTCATTTTCAGTCTGAGATCATGAAAAGAGTGGGAGTGTTTTTCTGATAACAAAACAACATGTGTTCAGTTTCTATCAGCAGAGCACAACATATCTGAGTGATGAAACTGAAGTGAGTCGGCCAAAACAAAACCAGAGGAGAGAAACCGAGCCAACATCGTGACGCAGCAACTCAAAGATTATTACAGATTAAAAAAACAACAGCTGATATTCCAGAAGTGTAAAAAACCTCAGTGTAGTGAGGAGGGTTTTTGTCAATGAATTTAACAGATCCAAATAAATGCTTAATTTAATTTTAATTACAAGAAGAAAAAACTGATGATGCAATAGGGATGTATTATTATGTCCCAAATAATAATCTAAATTATTTGTATTTATATAAAACATAATAAAAATCTATTTTTTTCCTAATTAATATTATTACCTTGTCGGTTAACATTGCACTTGGCTAGTGCTCCAACACATTGTACGTGATAGGCTAAGGGGCGGGACATCTCTAAGCGGTTGACCAATCACAACAGAGAAATTAAAGACATATATTTAAACTATTAAAAGAAGAACAAAAATATATTTATATATCTTCACAATATACACTATTCCAATGCTATGAATTTAGTAGCTTTTAAAAAAATATTCTACTCTTTTTTTAGTTATTTTGCCATTTTCAAAATAAAACATTCCAATGCTATGAATCCAGTAGGAATTCAGTATCCCATATATAGCGGCTCTTCAAAATAAAATACCTTTGTCTCTTTATTAAACACACAGCGCTGATGTTGACTCACCTTGATGACTTTCTCCACGCCAGAGGAGCAGATCATGTAGGTGTGAGGGTTGAAGCGCACCTGGTTCACGATGGACCGATGGCCCTTCAGGATCATGAACGCACCGTTTACCACCCGGCCTGCGCCCCCTTAAAGAAGGAAAACAATGAGTTTATGTCGGGGAAAATACAAGTTACTTTCCTATGTTATCTAACAACCATGGTACTGTGTATGACCTTGCAGCTGCCTCCTCTTTAGATAGGAGGAGGCAGGGCATCATTCACTTTGTTTATCTACAGATGGGAAGACACCTATCTCTTGTCTTCCCATCCTTTGAGGGGCAAAGAACAACATCATCGTAAATGGAAATACCTGCACGAACCTGCCGACACCCAACCGATTTACGACTATGAGTGGGACTGAACTTAGACTATATAAGCTTGATGTGCTTTCCTGTTCCTTTGAGCAGCATACCTCATGTGTGTGAGTTGAACCATATGTCACATGTGTCAAACTCAAGGCCCGGAGGCCAAATCAGGCCCTTGGTGGTTTTAATTTCAGCCCGCAGGATAATTTCTAATTACTATTAGATCTGGCCCGCCGGTATATTGCACGCACACCTTCACTCCATCCTGAGGGTCTCCTCAGCTCAGAGCCTGAGCCCAAACATTGATGACCTTGCACCCAAGATGAGATGCCAAGTATCTGAGCTAGCATCACAGAGCAACACACTGAGTTTAATGGATGTTTCGTTCTATAATAGTTTTGTTGAAGCTGTTGTTGTCCTGTGGAAAAAAGTACTCATAAGAAATGACTCTGGAAAAGCTGCAGATAGAGCCATAAGAAATGAATGCAGCTGATTATTTAATATTTAATGTTGTTTTTATAGGCAATCATTTAAGCTTTGTTAGTTCCAGGTTTAATATGTGCAATAAGTTCATTTCAATAAGTTCTGCAATAAACATTGAACCTCGACTAGTACCCATTTTTTTATTTTGGCCCACTGTGTATTTGAGTTTGACACCCCTGCTCTATGTGATTTAACCCTGCTCCTTCTTGCAAGAATAAATTAGTACCCGATTATTGATTCTCAAACCGGTGTCGAGTGATATTTTTCTAACAGTTTATTTTAATACAAAACACAGAAGAATAAGAAGTCATTAAAACCAACAGAGACGGTAAAGTAATCCCCAGTAGAACCAACAGTCTGTTCACATATTTTCAGAGTGAGTAATCTGTGGAAAAATGAAGTCCATAAATGTGTAAAGGTGGAGCTACATTCCTGGACGCATTTTTGGGATTTTCTTCCCAGAGTTATTACATTTGACTTCACAGCGAGTTATTTTTTACTTTTTCAAGGGCGATCAGGATTTGTTTCACCACTATATTTATTCTTTAATATTACATCCTAAACATTTAAAAAACCTTTTGATTATTTCCTGTAAGTGTCCAACTAACGATAGCTGTGTGATGTGATCTAAAATAAGGTAAAAATAAACCACTATGTTTATTCTTTAATTATATCCTAAATAATGTAAAAATATAGCTTATTTTTCCTTAAAAATGTAATAAAATTCCCCACTTAAAAAAATAAAAAATCTTATCTGAAAGAAAAAATATATGTATTTGATAAATTGTTCATTCCTGAAAGCTTCCAACTAACATTGGGTGTGTAATGTGATCTGGAATGAGTTAAAACAACATTGCTCACAGGCTTCTGGGTCCTTTGGGATTTTCCACATGTAGAGGTTGAAGTCGTCGGAACCAGACAAGATGTACTGAGGAGGAAACAGAGGCATGTTCAGACACACACAGACACTAAGGCAGGGGTGTCAAACTCATTTCATCAGCATTATGGTTGCACTCAAAGGGCCGGTTGTAACTTTAAGACTATATAAAAATACATATACAAATATTTAATATATGTAAAATAATGAATTATATTACATTATTGCCTCTGCATTGGATTATTATCGGGGACATTTTAAAAATAAAATAAGTGAAATTTGGGGGGGGGGGGAAGTGACATTTTGAAACAAACGTAACTTTTTTTGAAAAAAAAGTAACATTTTCTAATTCTGAGAAAAAGGCTAATTCTAAGAAAAAAGGCATATTTTGAAAAAAATGACAATCTGAGAAAGAAAAGCATATTTTGAAGAAAAAAAACTCAAATTCTGAGACAAAAAGGCAAATTTCAGATGCATTGTGGGACATGTAGTTTATGGGCAACGTGCAAACGTGTAAAGTAGCATGTAACCGTATAATAAACATATATTCTTTGTAAGCTCTTATGGGGCCACATAAAATGAAGTCGCGGGCCGGATTTGGCTCCCGAGCCTTGAGTTTGACACCCCTGCTCTAAGGGAAACACTTGTTACTCTCATATTGTGGATGTGACCCGATGATCACTTCCTGTTTCTGCTCCTTAATTACTCTGTGTATACTCTGTCGCTGCAGGTATGTTACAGGCATGTTCTTATAAACACGTATGTAACATGAAGAGGAACAGACTGAGAGAAATATCTGATAGCAGCAGCAGGTTTAGATCCTGATTATGAGATAATGGGCCCCTGGGAACATGAAAAAGGCCCCACTTCTGTATTGTTGTTCAACCTGTTTCTGTGTCTCTTGTAGATGTTTAGTTATCATTTTGTGGGTCTTTGGGATGATTTTGTGATTTTCTTTATACAGGGTATATGCAGCAATACTGAAGTCAAATGTAAGACCTTTTAAGGCCTTTTTTAAGGCAAGGCAAGTTTATTTATATAGCACTTTTCAACACAAGGCAATTCAAAGTGCTTTACAAAAAATGAAAGACATTAAGAAAAGGGCATTTAAAATCAGTCATTAAAAAGAAAAGCTAATAAAATAAACATTAAAAGAAAAAGTACATGGATAAAAGTTTCAGTGCAGTCTAAGATATGAATAGTTCAATTAAAAGCAGCGGCAAAAAGAAAAGTCTTCAGCCTGGATTTAAAAGTAGTCAGAGTTGCAGCGGACCTGCAGGTTTCTGGGAGTTTGTTCCAGATATTTGGAGCATAATAACTGAACGCTGCTTCTCCATGTTTAGTTCTGACTCTGGGGACAGAAAGCTGACCAGTCCCTGAAGACCTGGATGGTTCATAATTTAGCAGGAGGTCAGAAATGTATTTTGGGCCTAAACCATTCAGTGCTTTATAAACCAGCAGCAGTATTTAGAAATCTATTCTTTGACACACTTTCTTTTAAGACCCTTTCCATACATTTTAAGACCTCATGGCCACTTGGAGTTGTAACCGGTTACCTTGGCGACACACTTCACCTCACATTGACTATATACAGTATTGATTGTCCTTCCTCCTTATCTTCCAACCATTTGGACGCAGACTTGCATTTCCCCATAACGATGTTGCTTAGCAACCGGCGTAAACGGACCTTCGCGCTATCAAGCAGTGAGCGTGCGATGTCCTGTTCAGATGACGTCAAATCCAACGGGATGCCATCAATAAACTACAGAATCACACTACACACCTACGCCATGATTACATTCAGGCAGACTGTAGAACACAACCTCTTTGGACCATTTATATACTTATTGAAAACAAGCTACAAAATGTAATACCTTGGGAAATGCCGTTTAATATTTTTTAATAGCCTTCATTTTCACTAACTTGATTGATCAACTGTTAATACTTTAAGACCCCGCGGACACCCTGTTTAGCTGTTTTATGTCACTTTGTAGTTCCTTTTTGACTTTGTAGTTGTTATGTAGTAATTTTATGTCTGTTTTGAGTTATTTCACATCTGATTTTATTCCTTTTCCGTCTCTTTAGGGAAATTCTGTGACTTTTTGTGGTCATGTGTGTCTCTGTTTAGTCATTGTGAGTAAAGGGTCTCTTTATAGTAATTTTGTAATACTTTTTAAAACTGTGTTCCTTTTTTTGTTGAAAAATAGTAACCATCTGGCATGACAATAAATCACATTAATGTTGGCGCCTGTAGCTTTAGGGCTGAACGGTGAACACCTGCAGACTCAGGCAGGAATGTGACACCAGCTCTTCCTCCTCCTCCTCTTCATCACCTCTGTGTGCTGCCACCCTGCTCTCTGATTTCACATCAACCTGAGAAAATCCTCCAGACTTCGGGACTCCATGAGGACGTTTCTGAAAATGCTGTGAGAGCAAACAAGCCGTTTCCTAAAGGACAACTTCAGCCAGAAAGCGGTCCTTTGTATCAGTTTGGTTTTCTGTAATGACTCCACAGAGAACTAATAATAAAGGATTCATCTCTTTACAAATTCTCATAGAAGGCTTCTCAATTCTCTAATTCCCCTCCTCGACTCCTATCCTCGTGTCTTAGTCCCGCCCACAGGAGATGTGAGCGGAGGAGACGAACCGAGGAGAGGAGTGGAAGCAGCAGGCGTTTAGAGAAATGAGAACTTGTGCAATATAATCCAAGTCTCATCCATTTCTATTATTTGTTAGGCTCTCTTTTTGTAGTGGTTGTGGATCTTTTCGTCTATTTTTTAAGTTGTTTTGTGTCTGTAATCATTAAGTGGTCGTTGTGTGACTTCTTGTAGGCCTTTTGCCTCTTTTCGTAGTTATTTGGTTTCGTAGTTATATCTTCTTTTAGTTAGTTTGTGACATTTTGTAGTCAATTTGCCTATTTTTTTTGTATTTCTTTACTTTTACGAGTCATTTTGCGATTAAAAAATGTTTTTATTTTTATTTTTTTAAATAAATTGTATGTCTTTTAGTTGTCATCTGTTGACTTTGATTGTTCTAAGGAACCTTAAAGCTTTTATTTCCGAAAAAGTTTGGGATTTCCTTTATACATTTGTGTATACACGTCAGTGATCAAAGGTCTTTCTCTACACTAAAACAATCCATATCCAGTTTTCCCAGTTGCAGCAGCTGATCCTCTAACATTAAAATTCCTCCGTCACTCTTGAAGCGCAGGATTGTTTTTTTAAATCTTAACGACACCAGAGAATAATGCTAACATAACAAACATGTCTGCAGGGTGAGCTCATGTCTGAGGAGGAGGAGGAGGAGGAAGAAATACAGCAGGAACTCATTATTCTATTTTTATCTCCACTGCTCCCACATGTTCCTCACATTTTAAAGAAACAGATAAAACAAAGTCTGCACGGTTTGTTTTCATGAACCAGGAGCTCGATCACTCCCCTGAGAGCGATACATTATATATTTACATGGAAGGTATTGATTTCATAGAAGTGCATCCACTTGAACGGGATGATTTCAGACATACTTTACTCTATAACTCTGCACATATTAACCTGTAGTTCATTGCATTTACATTTAAATAAGTTAAAATGCAACTACTTTGCACAGTTGTATAAAGTCTAAAGCAGGGGTGCCCACACTTTGTTGGCTGGTGAGCTACTTTTGAAATGACCAGCTCACCGAGGTCTACCAACCAAAAATAAAATCCCAAATTGCAAGGGTTGCTGAATAACACATTTTATTTATACATGGGATAACTACAATAGGGCTGCAACAAACGCCTAATTTGATAATCGATTAATCTATCGATTAATGAAACGATTAATCGACTATTCGGACTATTACTGTACGCCTTGCACAATTTCTCAAACGCTCTTATTTAGCCATCAACTTTTAGATTTAGCTTGAGGTTGTTTTAGGCATGTGGAAACTAACAATGAAGACAATAAAGATGAATACTTGATTCAAAAATACATATATTATTAAATTAACTTAACAAATTGTGAACAAAACTAACATTGCTTTTTATTTAAATTAAATAAATAATATTTCACATCAAAAGAAAAAACAATGTTTTAACAAATCGTATTAAATAATGAGGACAGAACTGTAAACAGAATAGCTGAAACTTTAACAAAATAAATAACTCAGTTTCCTATAATCATTAACCCATGCTTGTATAATGTAGTTAACTCCGTGTGTTGCTTCTAGCATACATAACACCTGACGTGGAAACGTTACTCGTGGATGGGGCTGCAGAGCTGCTAGAAAGACAGTCGAACCCGGTGCATTCCTCCGTCTGAATGTGGAGCACTTTTGATAAATGTTTAGACACATTACTCGTGTTACCGCCCTTACATGCTAAACTCTCTTGGCAAGGAGCATTGTCCGCCTCAAGACGGGTAACATTTAACCACACCTTGGAGCGCTTCTCTCCGCCATCTCCACCATGTGTTGCTGCATGTAGCAGCTGCGTGTGTGTAAACTGCCCCCTCGCACACAGACGGGGGAGAGAGATCTCGTCTGGATTGGAAAGATAAAAAATACACCGACCATAGACGAGTTGGCGACACAAAGACTGCGAGATAATGTTTGTGTAGCAATAATACACCTTTCTCTTTCTCAACTCGCTACTCGGAGGGAAGTCGCTGTCACATGCCTTGTGAACACTCCGATAATGCCTCTCCACGTTACCTTTCTTTGGCAGAGCGACGCTTGCTTTACAAATAAGGCAAATAACCTTTGAATGTGACATCACAAACAAATATTCTTCCTCCCATTCTGGGTGGAAGTGGTATGTCTTTAGCTTCTTGCTCGGTCCCGCACTCATTTTGTTGTTTGTCTTTAACTTAAAGGTGGGGTAGGTAAGTTTCAGAAACCGTCTCGAGTGCACTAAAATTTGAAAGTACACAACCGAAAAGAATCCGCCCCTTCCTTCAGACTTCCTTACAGAGCACCTCCTCCAACACACATGAACGCGCACATGACGTCAGCAGACTGGTGAAAGTGGCCGCCTGTTGCTGGCGAGTCATTGAAGTACTGCTGCAATGAGGGCACGCCCAATGACGGCACGCCCAATGAGGGCACGCCCAATGAGGGCACGCCCAATGAGGGCACGCCCAATGAGGGCACGCCCAATGAGGGCACGAGATACATTTGTGCGTGCACGAGATGGAAGGCTGACAGACAGGGCGGCAATCCAATCCGTTTAGCCGGCCCGGCTAAACGGATTGGTTGTACTTTTTACAGCGCCACGGCTTCCACAGAAGACGTTTTTTATGTATTTTTTGTCAAAGCACTTAAGATATTCATTGCTATCGGGATGTTAAGAGCATTCCATGGAATATAACAAAAAGTGTATCTCGAGCCGGTTTCTCAAACTTACCTACCCCACCTTTAATTTGAGTTTTCCCGGCACTTGACTGATTTTGTATCGCTTTGCATTCTGGGTTAACAGACTGGAAAGCGATAGGTCGCTTTTTCTGTCAATCAAGTAAACTCCTGAATTAAGTGGCAGGGAGGAGGGATCAAAACCGGTTTTGTCTATTTTAACGGAGCTGGATTTTTTTTATTTTATGAATGACTCGCGATCTACCAGCATTGCCCCCGCGGTCGACGTACTGGGCACCTCTGGTCTAAAGTATACTATGTTTATATTTGAGATGCAGTAGTTTGGTCTGTTAAACATATTGTGTATTCTTTAGATACATGTCTAGCTACTCTTAGTATGTTAATATTTACTTGTTATTTTAATCTTGTATTTTATAACTATTGCTTTTTTAAAACATATTTATGATATATTACATATTATTATTAATAATATATATTTTTTCATTTATTTTCTTTCTATTATTACATACATTTTTTTGTATTTAAAATGTCCAATTATAATGCTTTAAATTATTATTATTACTATAAATACATAATAAATTATAATACATTTTCCTTCAAATTCTTTCTTCTTATAATTTCATACAACCATGTATTTGATTTCACTTCATGAAAATGGCAATACTTATGTTGTTTTATAATTGTTATGCTATGACGTTTGTATTTGTTTTTGTTTGCTTGGTACAGCCCTTTGAGGCATTTCTCCTTGCCTTAATAATGATATTTGTATTTTATTGTATTTACTATTTTTATCTGTTTTATTGTGTTGCACTGTTGGAGGAGCCTGTGACCTCAGATTTTCATTGTCATAACTACACTGTAGCCGTGTACACATGACAATAAAAGCCTTGAAACTTGAAAAGTATCTGCTGCTTGTTGTATCGATGATATCTGTAATATGTGGAGGATCTGTGGCCCACCTGGTCGCGGTCCCCAGCGAAGCAGCAGCTCTTCATGGTGCAGGAGTTGAAGTATCCCTGGTTGTCGAACTGGAAGCTGGGCAGGCGTGAGTGCAGCTCGTAGAGGACGGGCGGCAGGCGGCGCCTCAGAGCGAGGAGCTGAGTGCCCGAGCTGTTGAAGCGGACGCTCATCGCGCTCTGCAGAGACATGCTGCCGCCGTAACGCAGCAACGAGCTGAGGGAGAGGAGGAGACATCAGAGGAAGAGATTAGGAAGTGAAAGAATGTAAAAGTGATCTTCTACCTGTAAACATGGTCTCTCTGCAGAGTCAGAGCTCACGGTTACAAATCTGCTCAAAGATTGTTGGTCCACCCTGTCAGAGACTTTCTGACTCATGCCATAAAAACCTCGTGACGTGAGGCTGTCCAACAACATCCTCTGGGACCCAAAGCATGCTCTGAACAGAGAATATGAACTGCTACCATCTAATGGGAGATCAATAAAGTCAGACTGAAGCATCCTTTGTGCTCCAGTCAATCCTCACAGTGAACACAGAGCTGATCCCAGATCAGATGCACGCTGAAGGCTCTTTGAGCAGGTTTCCTCTCAGTGATCCTGCTGTTATGTTCAATGTTTGTTGTTTGTTTTTCATGTACTGTGTTTGTTGATGTTACACATGGAGCAGCTGTGATGCAAGTCACATTTCAGACTTGATCTGACCATTAAAGTATTATCGTATCGTATGACAGCAGAAGTGACTCACAGTTTAGTTGGACGTGTTATTTATGCATTAGTAACAGAAACCTAACCAAACCTGAGGGCATGTAAACACACTCTTTATCCACAGTTTTCACACTCATGCTTTACTGTAAACATTTACTCTCAGTAGCTGCTGGTTAGTTTAACAGTAAGACAACAGCGCCACCAGCTGGACAAACAAGCATCACAGGAGCAGAGGAGGGTTCAAGATTCAAGGGTTTTATTATCATATGCACAGTAGCTACAGTGTAGTTACGGCAATGAAAAGCTTAGGTCCCGAGCTCCTCCAACAGTGCAACATATTATATATAGCAGTGGTTCTCAACTGGTCAGGCCTCGGGACCCACTTTTTACTTGGTCAATAAATCGCGACCCAACATTTTGAAGCACTCAAATCTATTCAACAAAAAAACGTGCTGTAATATATACGCTTTTCAGCATACAATATTAATACAAGTTAAGTACAGTGCATATATCCCTTCACAGAACCAAAGTATGCTTTTAAAAAAGGTTTAATGAGATGATGGAATCAAAGCTGAACTATATAAAAAGGCACGCATGCTGAAAACCCAACCCCAGCAGGGGGTCTGGGGGGATTCTCCCCCAGGAGATTTTTAGAAATACTAACAAACTATGCATTCTGGTACTCTGAGAAGAAAATAAATACATCTATTACTACCCGACATGTTAATAATATGTTATGCCATTGTTTGTTTTTCACTTAGTTCTGACAGCTTGCTGCTCCTCTCAGAGAGAAGAGCAAAGAGGAGAGAGTCTGTGACTTACTTTAAATTGTGGGTAAGGGTAGATAGCCCCCATTGTTCTGTGACCTGTCAGTCATCAGACCGGGGGTCATATTTCATTATGTGTTCATTGTTATCTGAAGTTGTACTCATGGATGTATAAAGAATAGTTCTACCGCAGAGTTATTCTCCGTGGGGACTTCCGGGAACACTCTTGATTCTGATTGGCCAGAAGACTCGAAAAAACATCAGCAAAGATATTTTATTGAGAAGATGATCACTACGTGACAGAAGTTTTCAAAACCGTTGATGGTCTCCGGTACTTCCAGTCCAACGCCGACGGCTTGTACAGCGTTAGAAAATCGGGCCTTCAAAATAAAAGTTTGACTTTCCCCCCTCGAAACGGGTCCGCGACCCACTTTTGGGTCGCGACCCACCAGTTGAGAACCACTGATATATAGGACAGAAGACAAACATTTAAAATAAAATAGTGCAAATGTAACAGAGTACGATACATTTGAATAAAATAGTGCAGGTTATGTTGCTAGACCAGTATAAATAAAGCACCAGTAAATTGCACACAGATTAATTAAAAAGTCAAAAATGCAATACAAAATATGGATAATAAAAACGAAGATGACTTGAAGAGATAACATTAAAATAACATTTAAAAGAAATAAATATTTATCTTAATTCACAGACAAATATAATATATATATATATATATATATATATATATATATATATATATATATATATACTTGCGCAGACTGAAAACTCATCTCTTTCGACTCCACTTCGAGCGATAGAACTATTAACAAAGCACTTATATACTAATAAAGGACTGGCTTATCTAAAGCCAGTTGAGTAGCACTTGAAATGTTTTTGCTCTATGAAGCCTGATGTACTTATATGATTCTGTTTTCTTCAAGTTTGTATTTTGTTGGTCGAACGCACTTATTGTAAGTCGCTTTGGATAAAAGCGTCAGCTAAATGTAATGTAATATATAAAGATTTAATCAAATTATTTAAAGTATTTTTCTACTTTCTAACTAGATGCTTTTACTTTTTTTTTCTAATAATAATATATGTTTTTATTACCTCCACTGTGCTTTAGTTGCATGCCATAACATTTTCATTTCATTTCAAACGTATGTATTTGTATAGCTTAATGTCACACGTGTCTCAGGGGACTGCTTGTATTATTCCTCAGTGACTCAAGTCAGATCTCTTCTCCCCAGAGGAAATAGAAATTAAAAGTGTTACCTGTATTTTGGTTGTATTTGTTAATTTGCAAATGTAATTATATTCTTGGTCTGTACTTTAAACTGATTTCTAGTAACTGCACACTTTTTATTTATTTAGCATTATGTGAAATGTTGGGTGTGTAATATGATCATGTAAAAAAAAAAAAAATCAATAAATACATGTCTAAAAAAGAAATACATACAAAAGAAAATAAAAAAAGCGTTACCTGCGAGGTTTTCGGATGTCCCATAATCCCACGCCCTCCTTGGAGTTGGCGGTGGCGATGAGCCTCGGCTCCACCGGGTTAAACATCACGCTGTGGAACGCTGAGGGGTAGCTGGCCAGGCAGAACGGCTCTAAAGGAACAGATCACAGTTTATTTTACAAGATAATCAACATTTCTAACCTTTGCCTTCTACAAGCCAGGCGCTCAATTGCTTTGTGTTGGAAAAATGTTGGTTGCCCCTCCCTGGGCCACTGTTTAAACCACATGTGTCAAACTCAAGGCCCGGGGGCCAAATCAGGCCCTTGGTGGATTTAATTTCGGCCCGCAGGATAATCTCTAATGACTATTAGATCTGGCCCTCCGGTATATTGCCCGCACACCTTCACTCCATCCTGAGGGTCTCTCAGCTCAAAGCCTGAGCCCAAACATTGATGACCCCAAGATGAGATGCCAAGTATCTGAGCTAGCATCACAGAGCAGCACACTGAGTTCAATGGATGCTTCCTTCTGCACTTTCTCTCACGACAACAGGGCATGTTTGGTTTTCTCTTTGAGGGGAATAGTTTTGTTGAAGCTGTTGTTGGCCTGTGGGAAAATGTACTCATAAGAAATGACTCTGGAAAAGCTGCAGATAGAGCCATAAGAAATGAATGCAACTGATTATTTAATGTTGTTTTTATAGGCAATAATTGAAGCTTTGTTAGTTCCAGGTTTAATATGTGCAATAAGTTCATTTCAATAAGTTCTGCAATAAACATTGAACCAGTCCGGCCCTCCACTAGTAACGATTTTTTAATTTTGGCCCACTGTGTATTTGAATTTGACACCCCTGAGTTAAACAATTTAACTTCGAGTCTGGCTCTTGAGAAACTCACATATAAAGGAAGAAAGCTTCTGGATTTTACACCATTTGGAATTTATAAAGAATGGGGACATTGCAGAAGCTATGGAAGGTTAAAGTGAAAAGACGAAACTACTGAGGAAATGTTGAATGAATCTATTTGGAGAGTTGCAAGATGTACTCTGCTCTGTTTGTGGACGTGCTTTCATTGTATTTTGGGTGAATTTGTTAATTTGCAAATGTAATTATATTCTTGGTCTGTACTTTAAACTGATTTCTAGAAACTGCACACTTTTTATTTTATTTTTTAGCATCATTTTGTAATCTGCCATATGTCTAATGTTCGGTTCGGTTGTGTAATGTGATACATCAACATTATAAAAGTTAGTGAACTAGCAGCCAGTAAAAACATAACTCAATAATAAAAGTATGTTTTACAACAGTGTTGATTTAATACGATTATTTTTTTTAATAACATTTAATTTCAATTTATTGAGTTTTTCTCAATGTATTTATTTATTCAGATATATATTTATTTCTTTTATTTCACATAATTTACTTTTAAATCACACTGTGCTGCAACATAAATAAAAAGCCTGCTGCTGAATGTATTATTAGTTCATCACGGTCACAGGGAAGCTTTCGAAATAGAAAGACGTCATGCAAGATGATCCGCTGCATTTTTATCAACAAGTCTCACTGAGTCACAGCAGGAGGTCCTACACAAGCTTTCAATACTTATAGGTTTCTGTGCATGTCAATTGTCGACAAAGGCTAAAATCCCAAAGTGACATCACTGTGTAACAGTTATTGGCTAGCGTTCCAAAACATTGTACATGATAGACTAAGGGGCGGGACATCTCTAAGCAGGTTGACCAATCACAACAGAGCCGGCCAGCTAACCAATCAGAGCAGACTGGGCTCTGGTTGATGGACAAAACTAGTGCTTTTATTCTACATGCAGGCAGCCCTAAGCATCACCAGGTATAACGACAGAAAGATATTATTATTGACAAACAATTAACTTTACAGGAACACGCCTCCTGCTGCACCAAATGTGGCTAAAAAACGTCTCTATTTAGAATTGTTAGAAAAATATCACTGGTCACTGGCTTGTGCTTCAATATCAGGATCCATTTATTTATGATCCTCTCCAGAATGAAAGTAGTCATCACATACAGAGCATCAACTAATTCCTGAAGAGTGTCCTTCACATTACCTTCAGAAAAAAAACAACATTTTGAGAAAAAAAGTCAGTATTTTGTATGATTACCTACAAGAACCGGTATTCCTCCATCTTGTGACGGTGTAACTCCCTCTCTTGGATATCAGCTATTGGCTATCCAAGAGAGGGAGTTACACCGTCACAAGATGGAGGAATACCGGTTCTTCTAAGTAATCATACATCCTGTCATGTTCACAGCTACAGTTGGGATACCTTTGTTATCATGTGTACTCTGATATTGGAGTACATTCAGTATTTTCCCAACAAGACTAATGTGCTTTCTCTTTTTTATTCTAGATGAATGCAGCCCTAAGCATCACGATATAAAGATATTATTATTGTAAAAAACAACAACAAGCTTTACAGTAAACAAACTGTGCATGTACCTGTACTTGGCGGCTCGCGGGTGTCCCAGATGAGGACGCGTCCGTCGTCAGAAGAACTGGCGAACACGTTGTCGTTCACCGGGCTGACGGACAGACTGTACACAGCGTCGATGTGCAGGAACACGTTAATGGTTTCCATTCTGTCGGAACAAAAATCACACACAAAAACATGTTGTTAGTGCAAAGCCAACAAAGCTATTTATGCTACAGTCTGGGAATATACAGGGGGTGTTTTGATGCAACAGTTATTATTATGTTGGTGTTATTTGACCCACCTTTCCACATCGTGAAGAATCACCTGTTCATCATTTCCTGCAAAACAACAGACAGAGGATCACAATGTGAAGGATGCTTGTGCACCAAGCTTGTGTGTCATTTGATAAAATATTAACATCAAAATTGTAATCAAATAGTTGCAGCTGTAGCTTTTGTCCAGTACAATTTGCATAAACATTCTCATATAATACATGTAATTTAGTCCTTGATTATGAATTCTAAGGTAATTGACTTTGCTGCATAAAAAATTGCATCCTCAAGCGCTTCAACGTTTTTTTTATCTAACCATATCCACCTTTTACCGACTTGTCCTACAGTTACAAGCCACAGAAATACCTACACAGGTCAAAGGAAATAAACTCTGTTGTTGATGTGAAGGAGCAGACAGCAGATGCAGTGTTTATTTATGCTTACCTCCGGAGAAGACCTTCCTGTTGGTGCTGTCAAAGGCGAGGCAGAAGATGTTGGACAGATGTTCTCCCTTCAGCTTCACTGGTTTGGAGCGAGCGTGGAGAGCTTCCTCCATGTTCCACAGCAGAACCCGACGGTCGTCTCCTCCTGAAGACAACAACAAGAACAACAAGAACTTAGACAAATGCAAAGCACAGTTAGAGTTGGAACTAAAGACTGACTTCTCAGATTGGTTCATTTCAATCACTTCTTATAGACCTGAAGGGGTTGAACTCTATGGAAAGATTTAGAGCTATTATGGGTTAAAACCTTATTTAAGTAAAAGTACAGTATTGGCATCAAATTGTACCTATAGGCAAATGTAGTCGTTCTGCACAACGGCTAATTTCAGATAAAAAAATATGTTATATTGTTAAATAATAATGATTGATGCTTGAGTGCATCCACCCCTTTATTTTTGTATGAGAATATAATACAAAAATAATAATTGTTATATAAATCCTATACAAAATTCTCTAAAGACACAATATGTTTTGAAATCCTCCCAAGACAACAATTGTACAAACAATGTAATAAGAAAGAAAGAAAAAAAGGAAAAGCTTAACTAAGATATTATCAAAATGTGCTCTAAATAAATGTAAACACAATTAATTAGAAATAATAAATAAAAATGACATGCCTCATGTTGTTATACTAGGCCAGAAGATGATTATTTTATCCTCTCTGGACGTAAATATCTTTGTAGTTTCAGGAGGCAGACATTATTAAACCCTTATTAACGTCCCTTCCTCCGGCAGCAGTGTGAGTTTCTGGGCCGAAATATGTGACTCAGGTCGGGGGGACTGCTGCCCTCAGAGCCGCTGCTGGGTGTTTGACGTTAGCCAGCTAGCATATAAAGCTAAGCTAAATTAGGATAGCTTGAGTGGTTTCAGCTGACTGCCAGGCTCATAATAATAATAATATAATTTTGTACACTTTATTTGTATAGCACCTTTGATGCAAATAAAGTTAGCATCAAAGTGCTTTATAGAGCAAGAGAAGATACATAAAATACACAATGAGACAAAATAGTTAGAGTATTAAAACAGTGATGCCAATATGTGTCTGTAATATATGTATTTATATGTATGTATCTCAGTGAGATCGTATATTGTAGACTATTCAATTTAATCAATATTTTCTTTATATTGTGTAATATGATGATATATGTGAATTTGTTTACACTTGCTGCTAATGTTCATTTTTATTTTACAGAATACCTTTATCTTATTCTATCTTTTAAATATGTCTAACTCGTATAAAGCTTGACAACACTGCTGCTGTGACAAAGATAATGTCCCAGTTTGGGATAAATAAAGTATCTATCTATCTAACCCTAACCCTAACAAACAGAAAGAGTCACAAAACCATTAAAAAGGCTAGTTATTGTTAGCATGTTAGCACGAAACGCTAAGCTAAATTAGCATAGCTTGAGTGTTTTCACCCATTGGTTTCAGTTGACTGCCAGGCTAGTTAGCGTTAGCATGCTAACACACTAAACTCATGAAGAAGGATGATTTCTCACCAGAAACCAGCCATTCTCCTCCGTTGTTGGAGAACTCAATGGCGTTGACGCATCCGAAGTGACCGAGCATGTCCTTCTTGAAGAGGCTGGAGCAACCGGCCATCCTCCGCCTCTGGAACTCGTCCTTCAGTAGCGGCTGTCCGGTGAGCTCTCTGCGGGACAGAAAGCCCACCGAGGACCGCATCCCGCAGCCCTGCAGCTCCTTCATCATGGGGGAGAAACACTGTCTGTTAGACCGGCTGCTGCTGCTGCTGCACCCTGCGGGACATGTAGGCTTGTTGTGGGGCTGGATGTCTGTGTTGGGGCTACATTCTGCTGGAAGAGTCTTGTAGAGCACCTCTCTCTGTGTGTTTCTCAGTCCCAGCAGCAGCTTCCTGCTCCGGGGGAGGATCCCTCTCTCTCCCCCTGCTGTCACTCAGCACCACCGGGCAGACCTTTAACTCATATGCATCTTATTTATGTTTCTGATCAAACATCTTTGTATTGCGCTTGACAATGCATAAGTAATGTTTGTCATTTAGAAGTGGAAAGCAAAATATATGCATTGCATACAAATGAGACAATTGTCTGTAGGCCTACTGATTGTATGTACAAAGATATTGTTTAGGTTCCAGTAAATAAATGGTTGTATTATTGTTAGAGCTAGGCAAAAGGGGAAGACATATTTATGTTTGAATAAAGTCCAAATGTCAAAATAAGGTTGAAAGTATAATGATATCTGATGAGAATAACGTTGAAATGCCACTATGAGAATAAGGTGAAAATGTTAAGTATGAATGAGACATATCAACAAAGAAAGTTAACAACGTTTTAAGAGTTTATGATACATTTAATTTTTTATGATTTAAGAAAGTTGAAATGGTGAGAATAAAGAAAACGATTATAGCTGTAATCAGAGTTAGGAATAGGGATAAAGGATGAGGAGCAAGATTATTTTAAAATGTTGCATACGAGTCAATATGTCGAAAATATAGTTCAAATATCCCAAATAAAGTCCAACTGTATAGAAATAAAGTCGAAATGTTGAGAATGAATGTGATGGTTTTTTTAAAAAGGCACAATTTTGAGGATGAATTCAAAACATCACAAATAAACTGTTGACAATAAAGTCAAAATGAAGCAAATAAAGTCAGAATGACCAAACACTTTTGAGTTTTTCTGAGAAAAGTCAGACTTCTTCTTCTTATTACAGACACATGCATTTCCAAACATTTGGTCTACCTACGCTGTAAAATGTATTATCTCTTCAATTTACACACGGCATCTATTGCACGTCTGTCCGTCCTGGGAGAGGGATCCCTCCTCTGTTGCTCTCCCTGAGGTTTCTCCCATGTTCCCTTTAAACTGTGGGTTTTCTCCGGAAGTTTTTCCTTGTACGATGTGAGGGTCTAAGGACAGAGGGTGTCGTATTGTCATACTGATATTCTGTACACACTGTGAAGTCCACTGAGACAAATGTAACATTTGTGATATTGGGCTATATAAATAAACATTGATTGATTGACTTCTGAGATTAAAGTCAGATTTTTTTAAAAAGTCGGACTTGTTTTCTGAAAGTCTGTCAGTCAGAATTCAGACTTTTAGTCTCAGAATTTCATGAGAACAAAAACAAAATCACTTCTAGTCAGATCTAAAAAATGTTTAAAACTTAATTCCCAAAATGCAAGGGTTAGGCTTGACATTTCTACCTACTTTGACTTATTTTATTGATTGTTAAAGTATTATTTCCTTCACTGAAAGGACTTTAAAACTTTAATTAACCTTTATATTTACTTGTAGGAACATTAAAAACTCACACGTGAAACAGAAAGTACATTTTAGTGTGTATAGTTTTATTACTCCAAGTTTTGGGATTACAGTGGTAGGGAACTTTCATTTTCAACAAGCCTTTCTCTGAGACAACATAACAAAAACATCTACAACTTTTTTCTACGCAGAACAACGAATGTCTGCTTAACATTAACGGGATGCTGGGTTAAAGGTGGGGTATGTAATTTTGGAGAAACCAGCTCGAGTGGGCTAGAATTTGAAAATAAGCAGCCGGAAGAAATCTGCCACTTCCTTCAGACTTCCTGACAGAGCCCCTCCTCCAACACACTGGTTGGTCGTGCTTTTTACAGCGCCACGGCTTCCACAGATGACATTTTGTTATGGATTTATTGTCAAAGCATTTAATATATTCATTGCTATCGGGATGTTAAGAGCATTCCATGGAATATAACAAAAAGTGTTTCTGAAATAAATTACTTACCCCACCTTTAATTTAATTGGATAAAACCCATATTTGAGAACTCTTTTCAACATTATGCTGCAAAATCATTGCGCGGTACTGACATATTCTGTTGTTGTGGACCAAAATCAGCACCATGTTAGCAAGAGACACATTTAGATTTATGTTGATTTGTCAAAATTAAGCAATTTAGGCACTTATTAAGAAATTGGCAAAAGGTTATGATGAAAGTGAAAATATTTCAGTTTTGTCAACGCAAAAACTACTGACATTGAAATGTTAACAACACATCGTAAGCTTGCAGAATATCAAACTAAAATCTAAAACATTACCAAGGAGGCGTCACACTGAGCATAAAGTGATATTACACTGAGGAGATGCAGGGTTACTTTGCATATAACAAATATGCCGTGTGTCCGCTGCTTGTGCTGCTCAGAATTAAAACACACTGATCGACAAACATTTAAAAGTGCTTTACATTAAGGTACCTTCAATACATTCACCTCTACATTATGATCTATAATACCACAGGTAATGAGTGAGCTGCAGACTTCCTTTGGCAAAAATAAAAAAGAGCTTTTAGCTAAAGAGATATGGAGTGTGTCAGTGGAGTGTGGGAGAAATAAACACATATGAACCAAGATTACAGACATGTTGGGTAATAATAATACAATCATTTTTGCTTTGTTAAAGGAATACTTTACCTTCTAAATAAACATTTGTATATCGATATTGCTAGTTTAGTTTTTTGTGAATAAATGTCATTGCATCTACATTTTTGCATGTATGTTTGATTGCATCTTAGAGTATTAAGAAAAGCACTGTATGTATCATTAAGTCCCCATGTCATATTGAATTCTTAATTAAAATCACTTTTAACACAGGACAACTATGTACCATCCGTTTAAAAACCCCTCACAACTCATTTTAAGTGCATTATAATCCAGGGTGCATTTATCCAGTCCATGCTCACTACTTTACACTTGACTTTTAACTAAAAACATTCATATTTAAATCAGTTTCTGCAAACACAGTCTTGTCTTAAATGTACTTCAAATAGAGCAGTTAGTTAGTTCCACCTGGAGTAAATTCACAAGCTACCCTGCAGTATACAAAGTCATTCAAACTAGCTGCACCTTTACCAGTTTTGAGAACACTTGAATGATCAATCATTATAAAACACATCATATATATTATTCTGAAATGGACCAATCTGCACAATGATTGCTTTTGGTACTTTAAGTATATTTTGATTCCAATACCTTTGTGCTTCTACTTGAGTAACATTTTGAATGCAGGACTTTTACTTGTGACTTTTACTTCACTCTGGTACTTCAACTTTTACACAAGTACAAGAGTTGAGTACTTTTTCCACCTCTGGTTATGAGTGACTTTGCTCCTAAAGTAATGCAATGTATTTGTATTTGTTATTTAACAAGTACTACAAGGGTTTAGTAAAAAGGTAGGTGTTTGTGTAGTAGTGAGAACACGACTGGATAAATGAGGCTTGGATTAATCTGCAAGAGTTCTGTGACAGTTTGTACGTGATTATTTTTTTAATAGTTTTGTTGTTATAAATGTGGCCCCCATTTACTTTCATCTATGTATTGCCACAGAAAAAACACAGTTTCTCCAAGAATTCAAGATAACAGGGTGAGTTAATGATATATAAATGTTGATTTTGTTTGTGAAGTACTTCTTTAATGAGAGTTAGATGAGAACATCTCTCCTAGCCAAGTGCAGCTATAGCTAGCAACTGGTTAGCCTAGCTTAGCTTAGCACAAAGACTGGAAATGGAGGGAAACAGCTAGCATGGCTCTGTGTAAAACCACAGTTTGTCCTTTTTACACTCTGGTTTTGTACAGATTAACATAGGTGATATAAAATGTTGTTCAGTGAGCTTTACAGATGCTGGTAGGTGGATATATTTCCTTTTTTATCAGAGCCAGGCTAGCTGTTAGCAGCAGCTTAGCTTAGCATAAAGACTTCAAACAAAGTGAAAGGTCAAATATCAAATATTTGATTTCTCTTTTGTGTAATCCATACAAAAACTGGATCATATAAGAGGACAAAATGAGTTTATTTAGGGGGTTGGACTATGTGCTGGACTATTTTGTGTAAACCCCACCAGAAAACGACAACTTGTCTTGTCTTACGGTTTTCGTACAGAAAACACAAAAAAGACAATGCATGTCAATAAACTACTTTTTGTTATTTTATGTTTTTATAGCCTGGCTAGCTTTTTCCCATTGTCTCCAGTCTTTGTGCTTAGCTAAGCTAACTAGCTGTAGGTATTTTCTCATTTAACTTTTGGATACAAAGCAAATTTCCCCAAATATCAGTCCGTACTATCGTCTAAAAAGCATTTGATTTTGTGCTATTAATATTTTCTTTCATTTTCTTTCTTCCATTTCTCACTTTGGAGCAAGACTCAAGCCAATTTCAAGAGGAAGTTAAGTAGATAAGAGGTTCAAAATCAGTGTGTCATCTTCAATCAGTGCCAGGTTATTATTCATTCACACAGTTTTCAGTCTATTGCACATAATCTTCATTTAGTGCCGAAGCGTTTTCTTCTTCAGGGTTAAGAATCAAAGTTGAAAATCCCAAATTTCTTCAAGATGAACGTCTTCCACCTCATCACAAGGCAGCTGCTCTTGTATTTTATATATATAGCGGCCTAGTGACTAAAACCAGCCACACGAAATTAAAACAATGGCAGATGGCGAAAACCTGGACACAGTATGTTAAAAATAATACGTCTAATTATTATTTACTGATTATTTTGTTCCTATAAAATATCAGCAGGATATTTTATTCTCATTTAAAAAGCGGAGTAAAGAAAGATTCCCTCGGCGGCGTTGCCTCGAGACGTTTTTAACATAAATATAAAATAAAAAAAACACGCAAAAGATTAAATAAAAATGCAAAAAGCTTAAATTAAGACACAGAATAAAGAAGTGTGAGGAGGGGGTTAAAGGGGTCTCAGTCTCTAGTAGGGGCCCTTGGTGTGTCCAAAGATCCCGATCGGGAAGTGCTTCACGTGAGACGACCACTGCGCCGCCAGCTGGAAAAACTTCACGTCGTTCCACTCCACGCCATCTATCAGGACTGCGGAGGAAGAGACCAAAAAATAAAATGAATACAGAGAAGAAATATCCTTAAAATAATTAAAGATTAAAATCAGATCCGGATATATTGAACATTTTATTTTATAATAAATGTTCATATAATATTGTCCTATGTTTTTATTTTATGCTTTAAGTCATTATGTATTTATCAGGGTAATACTTACTGCACACTAACATTTAAATACCCTAATACACCTCTAAGCAACACACAAATTAAATGTGGCATTTTAGTTTAAATTACTGCATTTCCACATTTGTATTTCCACATGTATATTTTAATTTTTTATTCTTTAACTTTTTTAATATTTAATGCTATTTTATTTCTATTTCTGAAATATTTTGGACTATTTATTTCTTGTGTCTTAATTTCTAAATAAGTGAATGTACATTTCCCAAATTGGCATCAATAAAGTACCCTTCTATCTATCTATCTATCTATCTATCTATCTATCTATCTATCTATCTATCTATCTATCTATCTATCTATCTATCCATCCATCCATCCATCCATCCATCCATCCATCCACCTACCCACCTACCTACCTACTATCTATCTATCTATTTTTTTGGAGAAAGTTACCGCTGCGCCAAGGAGGAAGTGGAGCACACAGGAGGAGAAAACCATTTCATTGCAGACTGTTATGTTGGGATACGTGGGGAAATTACAGTGCATACATTATTTGAGGGGGGGTGCTAGTGAACTGTCATTGTGGGGGGAGCCTCGCAGCGGAGAAACGGTGGACCTCTGTCGCCTGTCAGCGCAACTTCAATGATGCCGTTTAAAAACATAAAAATGTAAGGGCGGTGCCGTCCATCAGCGAACCGAGCCGGCCGTCACCGGCCCTTGACGACCGGCCGTTCTGTGATTCTCCAGAAATCTACAGATGGCCAGTCTGCCCCACACACACCAGTACCTGCTGGGCAGGAGGTACTCTGAGAGTCACAGACATTAATTCATAGATCAAGGCAGACTGGTTTACAGACTCTCCTGTTTTGCCAATCCGTTGCTTAAACAAATAGCTCTACACCCCTGGCCGAAATGTCACTGTAAATGTACACTGTGTATGTGCGTGTGAGGAGTGTTGCAGTAGAAAATTCCACTGTAGCGACCGGTACATTAATGGGAAACCCTACATGTTTGAGCACCCTCTATGAAACGTCAAGCTACCCCACAGCACCCCCAAAAGAAAATCTCTGGCGCCGCCACTGAGCCTGCAACCCCGTTTTGAAGAAATGTGCAGTGCAAAACAGGCTTATATTATATTATAACTTATTGTTCTAGCAAAGGGATTGCACAATTGTATTTATTTTTTTGAGCACACAGACTTATGGAGCATTGTTTTATTATCACTGTTCTAGCAAAGTGATTTTTTTTTTGTTGAAAGGAATGCTCACGTTCATATTGATGTATTTTAATAAATGTTAACTTGGCCCATTACGTGACTATTTGTGTTGGTGGGGCGCGACTTATTTTTTTCTCCAAAGGGGGGGCCTGACAGAAAAAGTTTGAGAACCACTGGGATAACGGGTGAGTATCTCGTGCACACGAGATACTCACCCGTTATCCCGACTTTTTTGTTTCTCTCTCTCGTTTTTTTTCATGTTCTTTTAGGGCAGGGGTGTCAAACTCAATTTCATCTCGGGCTACATCAGCACCATGGTTGCACTCAAAGGGCCAGTTTTATATACAATAAATGCATATTTTGAAGAAAGAAAGTCAAATTCTGAGAAACTAGTCAAATTTGAGATGTATTGTTCTACATGTAGTTTATGGGCAACGTGCTTCTGTAAAGTAGCATGTAACCGTAAACATATTATATTCTTTGCAAGCTCTTGTGGGGCCACATAAAATGAAGTCACAGGCTGGATTTGGCCCCTGGGCCTTGAGTTTGACACCCCTGCTTTAGGGGCTCCATACATTTCCATTAATAATACAAATAGTTTTTGTTTTCTAATGCATGGATATATATATATTTTTTTTAATGAATGTTGAGAAAAGGTTCCCAAATGTTGCTCCCAAAGCCCCCCCAGCATGTCTGTTTTAGATACCGACCCCTCAGCATGGTCTGCTGGTGCTTGGCAGTGCAGATCAGGCGGCTGATGCCCTCGATCAACTGACTCTTGGACTCCACCTCCTTGTCTTTGCTCTTTTTTGGCAGGAACATGACTGCAGGAGGAGAAAAAGAGGTCAATTATGATGTGAATAATCCCTTTAATGTTTGCACTACAATGAGAAAATAACACTTAAAATCAAATCAATTATTTGTATAGCCCAATATCACAAAACATGTTCGTCTCAGTGTGCTTTACAGATTAAAAACAAACAAAATATTGTATATGATGGAGTTACACACAAATGAGAAGACAAGATAGTGTGTGGAATACAAATAGAAACAAAATAAAATAAGATACAACAAAAGACAATAAAAATACATAAAACATTCAAATTAATAACCATACAATTAAATTAAATGAATACCACAAAATGCCAGCTCTAACTGAAGTCTTTGTTAAAAATGTAGGTCTTCAACGCACTCTTTGGACACTCTCTGCCTCTCTGATTAAAACAGGAAGTTGGTTCTAGAGAAAGGGAGCTCTGAACGCTCCGACTCCTGATCTTGTTTTGCGGACTCTGGGCTCCACTAACAGACCTGAACCCTGGGAGCGTAATGTTCTAGCGGGGCAATAGAGTCGTGCAGGGATGACGTATTTTTGTAGGCCGACCCGGAAGCTGCTCAAGGGTTCCCTCGAGAAAAAAGCAACGGGATTTCTCCATAGGATTTTGGAATATTGTAAAAAATAAGATCTGTGGAAAACGATAAATGCTCGTTTTGTTCAGCCGGATAATCTCCACATGTCTACTTTTATAATGTTCTAATCATAAATCTAATCGCCAGAAGCAAAATGCTAACGTTATGCTATGAACGAACTGCAGCCGAGTACAGCAGGGTCGCACGACTTCAACGTCACGCCAACTTAAGGTCGTTTCAACTTGTATTCGAATTTACAGATTCAAAATGGTACAAGTTGAAGCGATTGTTTGAACAGTTTGAGGAGGCAGGTACTTGCTTTCAAGCAGAACAGTCAAACAAACTTAGAGGAGTGTTTACGTGTTCGGCGTAATGACGTCCTCGACAACTTCTGTAGTCCTATTCAGCCACTTGTTAACAACCATCGTTTTTCAGACACGTAAACTCTTCAGAAATCACCAGTGGCGTCACCGCTGATGTATTTAATGTCGTAGAACAAAATGTGATCGGTCTCTTAAATGTGTCTCAACCACAGACCTGATTTCCAGCTATTTTCCAAAAACTAGTTAAAAAAACCCACTGACTCTGAGACGAGGGAACCGGAAGTGGTAAAATGCTAACTCACTTCCGGGTTTTAGGACTCGTTCCTGCACCACTCTATAGTGGATCAAATATATTTTAGATCAGGAGTGTCAAACTCAAGGCCCGGGGGCCAAATCCGGCCCGCGACTTCATTTTATGTGGCCCCGCAAGAGCTTGCAAAGAATATAATACGTTTATTATACGGCTACATGCTACTTTACAGAAGCAGGTTGCCCATAAACTACATGTCCCACAATGCATCTCGTTTTGTGACATGCGCACTGAAGAGACTTGCAATTATTTTCCCTGGACTTCTGCTTTCAGACGTAGTTAATTACTAAGTTATTATCCTATCCGATAATAATCCAATTCAGAGGCAATAATGTAATATAATACATTATTTTATATATATATATATATTATATATTTATATATGTATATTTATATAGTTACCCTTTGAGTGCAACGATAATGCTAATGTGGCCCGCGATGAAATTGAGTTTGACACCCCTGTTTTAGATGCATCAGCCCATGCATGGCTCCCACTCACCCTTCTTGTTCTTCTCCTTGGTCACCACCGTCATACTCATGGTGGGTTGAGGGTTCGGCTCTGCCCCCCCCAGCGGCAGCCGGCTGACCTGCAGCGAGCGGAAATTGCACTTCAGCGTATTTTTGGAGGAGGAATCCCGCTTCTCCACGTCCTTCTTCCTCTCCGCCGGAGCCTGCCAGTAATCCACCTGCAGCCCCATCAGCTCCAGCCCACCTGCAGAGCTGGAACACAAACAGGAAGGGCTTTATGTCATAGAAATGTTTAAAGGACAGAAATTGAGCTCGCAGAATTGGAGGGAATATACCTGGAAGATATTTTATTACGCCCTCTCAGAAATCCCACTATGATAGAACCCCCTATATGTTGGAGGAACTGTGGTAACCGGAATGCAAACCACTTCCATGTATTCTAGTCCAGTTATCAAAGAAAACTGGAAGGAGATACACAATGCCTTACAAGACATGTTCAAAGATATGGAAAAGATGACAGCATTTGTCAATCATAACTACAAACTGGGAGAAGTGGACTCTCTATGTAAAGGCCGGATTTTGTGTTGACAGATCCGTAACTCGGCTGTAAAGAAATGTCTACTCCCTAATTGTTCACTGTTATTTTCTTTTCTTTATGTCTTTCTCATCTGTGTTTTTTGTGTCATCACGTGTATATTGCTGAAAAGAACAGATTTATGTCATTCATGTAAAGATGCAATGTACAATATGCAGTGACAATATTTGACACTAAATGCCAATAAAAAGTAAATTACGAAAAAGAAATTGTATTGCTTTTTTATCTTTTCTCAAGACTTAATCTTATACTCGTCAAAATGTATTAAAAAAAGAAAAATGCATAATTTTTAGATCAATAATTTATCTTTTGTCTCCAGGGCCCAGGAGTTCAAAACTTTTAATCCCCATCTGATCATATCAGATTTGGATTTTGGGGAGTTAAAAACCAAACAACAGGATTAGGATCACTTTGATATCCGATCAGATCAGGAAATCCAATCCAAGCTTTAATCTGGATCAAATCTTCAAAGTGGGTAGTTCAAACCGACAACACAGGATTGGGATCAGTTTGATCCCAAAAAACTGGATTATCCTGATCCCACCAGAGGGGTGGATTTCCAGTGGATTACCAGAGCAGAACGTACTGTACAATTTATTTTAAAATATGTTTCAATATAAATAAGATGGCAAAGTTTGTTAACTGAAATAATGCACCATTTTTAGCCTTCATGGGAAATACATTTTATTTTTTCCATTTTTTGGTCACGTTTTCAACCAAATGTTGACATAAATGTTTCTGCTCATGAAAGTATCACAACAAAGATTGTCAATCACAAATGTAATTTAGATTAAAGAAAAAATATCTTCAACAAAAAAAAAGTCCATCATCTGTCATCACCTTTCAAAAGTACTCCAGGGACAAAATCTGGCCGACTTGTCTGAAAAGCAATTCAGGATAGGATCACCCTTATCCAGATTCAGACTTTTCAAGATTACTAGATCCTGAATATCAGTGCTTTAATCCTACCGATCGCCATCTAGTGGATATGAAAAATAATACAAGGAAGACAAGAGACCAGATTGCAGAGACATCTATTGTCTATCTATTACTTTTGAAAGGTGATGACAGATGATGGACTTTTTTTTCTTGAAGATATTTTTTCTTTAATCTAAATTACATTTGTGATTGACAATCTTTGCTGTGATACTCTTATGAGCATAAACATTTATGTCATCAACATTTGGTTGAAAACAAAAAACGTGACCAAAAAATGAAAAATAAAATGTATTTCCCATGAAGGCTAAAAATGGTGCATTATTTCAGTTAACAAACGTTGCCATCTTATTTATATTGAAACATATTTTTAAATAAATTGTACAGTACGTTCTGCTCTGGTAATCCACTGGAAATCCACCCCTCTGGTGGGATCAGGATAATCCAGTTTTTTGGGATCAAGCTGATCCCAATCCTGTGTTGTCGGTTTGAACTACCCACTTTGAAGATGTGATCCAGATTAAAGCTTGGATTGGATTTCCTGATCTGATCGGATATCAAAGTGATCCTAATCCTGTTGTTTGGTTTTGAACTCCCCAAAATCCAAATCTGATCCGATCAGATTTGGATTTTGGATCAGGTTAAAAGTGTTGAACTACTGGGCCCAGGTGTTAATGTTTACCTGTAAGCACAGAAGCTGGTGGTGATGGAGGGTGAGGAGGGAGGGGTGGGCGACGCCTCTTTGAGGGCGGGGGACACCTGTTGTGGGGAGGAGAGCAGCGAGGAGCCGAGGGGAGTCGCGTCATCAGAGTCTCCTGGGGGAAACAAAACAATTAGAAAATGACAAAAGGGCCTTTTTAGTTTAGTGCTCTGGTGCAGGGAAGTTAGATAAGATGAGATTAAACTAAATGGTAATTAAACAAATCGTCTTCAGGGATTGTTAAATGTTAAATGAATATTTCTCCTTTTTGATGTTGAGAAGGAAACTTATTTGGTACAGGAAGCATTTCAGACTCTATCTGACATTACAACTTTGAATTTCCTTGTGTTGAAAGGTGCTATATAAATAAACTTGCCTTGCCTTGCCTACATTACATGTCACTTCACTTCACTTGTTAGACGCTTTTATCCAAAGCAACTTACATACTCAATGCTGTGGGCAATCCCCACAACGACATGCTGACTGCAGTGGGGTTTGAACCTGTGACCCCCTGATTCTAACACCAACGCAAAACCCACTGCGCCACACGCCTCCACACAGTATAGCATTATTGTGTTGTACTTTTTTATTACTTTTATGTATTTCAAAAATCCTTCTGCTTGATTATTTCTCACCTGATGCTGCAGATGTTTGCTCCACGAGGCCGACTTTCACCATCTGCAGGATTCAGACAGTATAGCATTATTACTTGTACTGGTTAAAGACATATTTGTGGAGCTGTGATAGTGTCCAACCTTAGGTAAAACAATCAGTGCATAGAGACAAAATAAACAGTGACAGTCAGTAACTTACTCCGATAAAAGGGATGAATTTCTGACACGAGTCCTCGTCCGGGCTGTGGAGAGACAAAGACAGTTCAGGCAAGAAAATAAGCAACACTTATAAAAGAAATAGGAAATCAATTATTTACAAAAGAGAGGTGTAAGGAATCAAAAGTGCCGACTACTGCAAGCATATCCAAATGCTTGGCTACGAAAAGTAAAGACTATTTAAATAAATATGCAGTTAGTAAAATCTGGCCTCATTCACCAAGCGTTCTTGAAAAGGTAATTTCTTCTTATGAAGATTTTCAAATTTTTTTTTTTTTGGTAACAGAATCTCCACATATTTGAGTTCCAAAATGATTGCTCAGTTTAATCAGTTTTCGCGTTTCCTTTAGTTAAAATGTCTATAAAATGTGTTTATAATAAGTATTGTTAATGTATAAACTATAAAGCATTATGGTACAGTTCAAAAAATGGGAGAAAAGCAGGCGAGAGCCAGCATGGCGAGGCGATATTTGACTGGAATGATAAAAACAAGATTCAGGAGCTACGAGCTAACCGCTAACGCTTCTATGATAACTTAAGATCCAGACGGAAAATGTCCAAACTAAGCTGTGTAATAAATGAATATAACATATTTCCAGTCATTTTAGACATTTTAAAGTGTAAAAGTTAGAGCTATTAGAGCCCTTCATGAATCTGATCTACACTCGATTTCTAGGAACAATCTTAGGAACATATTGGTGAATGAGGCCCATTGAGATCTAGTTATTAGTAAACTATTCATGATGCTGATTTCCAATGTGTCACATGTGGAAATATTCCCATTGCATGAGGAGAATCAGAGCATGCTACATGACGTCAAGTCTCCACTAACACAGATCCACTTCCTGCAGGCTCCTTTATTAAAGCCGCAGAAGAAGAGCATGCAAATATCAGCCGGTTGGAGGCTTCAGACAAAGCCATCCAGAAAACTGCAGACAGCAGAGCAGAGAAGAAGAGCATTCGAGGAGGAAGACATCCATCAGGGGAATACGAAACTCTGAATGATAAAGACGTGGACGAGCAGGAAGAGCACCAACCTAAATGCACAAGTCTGCAGCTCCATGCAGCACCGAGAGCGTCTCACTGCAGTGTGTGAACAATTAATCTACTGACTCATATTCATGTACACACATTTCCCATCTATTACCAAATAATGCATTTTAATTGGAGGTATTTAAAAAACTGTTTCTAATTTCTAAATATACCGACTCAACATTTTAATCACAAATGTCTTTATTTGTATTGTTTTAAATTGACCTGACTTTAAAAAACAATAGGATTAGGCACAAAATATACTTTTAATTAAACTACAATATTTCGTTTTTGGTGGCACGAAAAAAAAACGTGTGTACATAAACACAAATCAATAATTAGATCAAATGACTTCACGACCGGTTCACAGACTGCCATGAGACTGGGTTGGTATCACTACACCTTAAAGAACTATTTTCCTGTTGACCAGAAAAATAGTCTGACCGGATCTACTTTGTTTAGAATGGATCTACTTTTCTCTAATGATGACGTGAGCGGTTGCTGCTCTTGCCTTGGAGAAACCTGCCAGCGCCCCCCCAGGGAAGAAACAGAGCGACTACAGGGGGGGGGGGGGGGGGGGGGAGAGAGAGAGGGAGACACACACATCCATTTATCCTCCAAACACAGAAACACATCTGGACTGAAATGAGAAACAGCAGCCAGAGAGCCGGATGTCTGCCTGCTATGTGACGTGAATAACGACTGAAAACAGGAACTTATCTGATGATTTTTAGACAAATATGAGATAAAATGAGGGATGTTTTGGTTAAAAGACGCACATGCACGTCAATCAATGAAGACATATACACATGCACGTTAAAGATAAATCTAGTTCTGCATCTGCAGGTTTAAAAAAGTAGTATTATTATCTTTAACATGTTGGTTTTGTTGTACAAATAAACTGACTATGTATACAATGCATATTATAATGGTTTTAAAAATGCATTTAAATGGTCATTGTTTGCTTTAAGTTAAGTAGAAATTGATATTTAAACAACTTGTGTTGTTATTAAGGGTTCTGAATTTTTTTTAAACATTTAATTCAAAGACTTTCAAGGCCCATTTTCTTTAAAGGTCCCCTATTAGACTGTTTTTCATCAATATATCACAGGTCTCAGATATATACAGAGCATGTCTCTGATTGGCTGAAACACCAAACAGATCATTGCAGCATTACCCATAATCCCCTCTGTTTCAGCCCTGTTTCCAAAGTGCTGATTCTCTGTCTGTTACTTTAGATGAAAATAAGGAGCCCCTCCCCACGCCCCTCTGAGAGACATTTGGTTAAAAAGAACACAATGGTGCTCTAGGAGGAGATTCAGGTCATAAGGTGTGTGTGGGGGGGGGGGGGTTACCTTGGTTGCTGATTGGCTAATGGTTACACAAGACAACACATCGTTATGACATCATAAAGTGGCCAAAATCTGATCAGCTCATTTTCAGACAGGTTTTTATAGAAATGGATCAGGACAAAAAGAGAGAGAATCTTTGTTCCTGAAACTTTCAGAGTCTCTTTCCACAAAGGGGACACATGTTGATGTAGAAGAGGCATGAAGAAGAGGGGACACATGTTGATGTAGAAGAGACATGAAGAAGAGGGGACACATGTTGATGTAGAAGAGACATGAAGAAGAGGGGACACATGTTGATGTAGAAGAGACATGAAGAAGAGGGGACACATGTTGATGTAGAAGAGACATGAAGAAGAGGGGACACATGTTGATGTAGAAGAGACATGAAGAAGAGGGGACACATGTTGATGTAGAAGAGACATGAAGAAGAGGGGACACATGTTGATGTAGAAGAGACATGAAGAAGAGGGGACACATGTTGATGTAGGAGAGACATGAAGAAGAGGGGGACACATGTTGATGTAGAAGAGACATGAAGAAGAGGGGGACACATGTTGATGTAGAAGAGACATGGAGAAGAGGGGACACATGTTGATGTAGAAGAGACATGAAGAAGAGGGGACACATGTTGATGTAGAAGAGACATGAAGAAGAGGGGACACATGTTGATGTAGAAGAGACATGGAGAAGAGGGGACACATGTTGATGTAGAAGAGACATGGAGAAGAGGGGACACATGTTGATGTAGAAGAGACATGGAGAAGAGGGGACACATGTTGATGTAGAAGAGACATGAAGAAGAGGGGACACATGTTGATGTAGAAGAGACATGAAGAAGAGGGGACATATGTTGATGTAGAAGAGACATGAGGAAGAGGGGACACGTGTTAATGTAGAAGAGACATGAAGAAGAGGGGACACATGTTGATGTAGAAGAGACATGAGGAAGAGGGGACACGTGTTAATGTAGAAGAGACATGAAGAAGAGGGGACACATGTTGATGTAGAAGAGACATGGAGAAGAGGGGACACATGTTGATGTAGAAGAGACATGGAGAAGAGGGGACACATGTTGATGTAGAAGACACATGAAGAAGAGGGGACACATGTTGATGTAGAAGAGACATGAAGAAGAGGGGACACATGTTGATGTAGAAGAGACATGAAGAAGAGAGGACACATGTTGATGTAGAAGAGACATGAAGAAGAGGGGACACATGTTGATGTAGAAGAGACATGAAGAAGAGAGGACACATGTTGATGTAGAAGAGACATGGAGAAGTGGATTTTGCACAATAGGTGACCTTTAAATTCAAGGGCCTAACACATCACAGTGAACTAATCGCAGGCTATTTAAAATACATCCAAAGCTTAGTTATTTATTTCCTTCAACTTAACAAACTTTTTAAAGAACCTGTGGTAATGGTTATTTCACAGATAATCATATTTTCCTCACCTAAGACAAAAAATAAGCAATATGCATAACCTATAATAACATTGTGTGATGTTTTGGTTAGAACTATCGGCGTAATACATGCACTTTTCTTTAGGTTGCAAAATGTGGTATTAATATGTTTCGTATATAATACAGAATGTATGCATCGCTTGTAATGGTACCCATGTCTATAATGCATTATAAACACACCTATAATGCATTATAATGTGATTAAAAGCGTATCTAGAAGTTCATTGTTCTCTTTTAAGAAAAAAATATATGAAATGATTAACCTTTAGAATGACTCAACCTAATTCCCTTAAATGTAAGGACTCAATAAGGCGTTTTCAGCATGGGTTTTCTACCTCTAACTGGACAGATAACAAACAGACATGGAGGGCCAGATGATGGAGAAGAAGCAGTGGTGGGGAAGGAAATAAAAAGCCCCAAAGAGAGAACACACACATCTGATCTCCTGCCACTGTATCAGCATGATTTACCCTAATTAATGAGGACAGCAGAAACTAATCAAACATATTAACAACAAGAGCACACAGACATTGGATGGAGATTAAAACCTCATGATTCAACAAAAACATCTACAACATGTGCACCAAACTTCAGCGGATAGAGCATTTTCATTAGTTTAAACATCTGGAAAATAATTAGACTTTCTCCAGAAACGTAGAGGAGAAAATGGATACGTCTCTCATGTCTGTACAAGGAGATGGTTAGCTTAGCATAATGACTGGAAACAGTAGGAAACAGCTAGCGTAGCTCTGTCCAACCGACCGGAATCTCTAAAACCAACTAAATTAAAATGTTTGTTAAATCCAAAATCTTAAGTGCAACGGGGGCATTGAAATATATGTCTTCATCTGCCATCACAATAACATGATCATTTCTCTTGACTTCATAAAATGTGTGCCAATGTCCACATCTGCAATTGGCCAAATCGAATATGTAAATATCTAATATTTGGCATCGCTATTGCAAACTTGCACCTTTGCATTGGTGAGTTTTAGAAATGGATGATAGATGGATTTTAAGAGCACTCGTAATGTTGAAAAGAGAATGAACATCAACACAGATTAAATAAAAGGAAACCTGTGATTGAGTTTTTTTAAGCAGACATTTTCACGACATGTTAGAGGTAACTAAACACACACAAAAAATCTGGAAAAAAGCCTTGTGTCTTTGGGTACGCCCTTCTTCTGTTTTACTCTCTGGTGTTAAGGCTTATAAAAACGTCTAAATAAAAACCTGATGCCGCTTCGGTTAGTTTACTAAATCTCATCCTGTGTCTGTGTCCTTGAGTTATTTACGACCGTGAGCTTTAGCCCAGATAGAAGATCTTATCTGAGGGGTTATAGCTCAGGTTGTTAGTAATAGACGAAAAACAACCACTTTTAGGCAGCTGTTAAAGTGGCAGGCTCCAGAGAAAGAAAGGGAAGTGAAATGTGGCTCCAACACACAGAAAGCACATGAATCACCAGGCTGAGAAACAAACTCAATATACCACAATACCTTACTGCAAAATCAAAATGAAAGCTCTTTTTCCTTCAAAGAAAAGAAAAAAATACAACAAAAACGTGTTATTCTCACACACACACACACACTGATGGAAAAACATGATGTTTAACACATAGACGCCGCACACACACACACACACATTAGTGACACCTTTACCAACATTTTGTTTTTCAAGAGGGGGTTGAAGACATTTTAAAAAAGGTGTCTAATGACAATAAAGTTGAATCTAATCTAAATGTTGTATTTTGTATGAACTGAATTAAAGTCAAGAATGAAAAACCCTACTTTCCATCATTTTCATTCATGAATTTGCCTTTATTTGAGTCAAGTTTCCTTATTCCTGTATTTATTTTTAGAAAATATTGATGGATTTGTTGTTTTAATCATTGAGTTTGAAAGATTGGAGAAACCAGTTTATGTTAATTGTTGAAAATCATGCCGATTCATGTTTTCAGCTAAATGTAACGAGTTATACAGATAATATCCACAGATATAGTAAAGTCCATTGAGTTATACAGATCTCTTCAACCCCATTTGGAAAAGCAGCTGAAGCTCTGCATAAGAAGCAAAAATAAGACCACTAAAACTAAATTCAATTATTCATCTAAAAACCCCATTTAAAGTCCCCCTCCCCCACAAGATTCAAGTTTCAAGGCTTTCATTGTCATACGTACATACTGTAGCTACAGTGTAGTTATGACAATGAAAATCTTAACCTCCAACAGTGCAACACAATAAAACAGATACAATAGAAACAGTGCAGAATAGTCTATATACAGTAATTGGAATATTGATATATATGAGTTGCAAACAGAGGAATGTAATGGATGTTCTTTCAAAAGTTCAGGTGTTTAACGGTCTTATGGCCTGATGGATGAAACGGTCCCTGAGTCTGCTGGTTAGTGTCAGATCAGTGTGTGTAACGTTCCCAGGTGAATGATGGTGGTTTAACAGATTGAACGTACCTCTTCTGTTTGTAGGTGAGCATGGCCTCAGCGATGGGCAGCTGGTGGGCTCCGTTGGCTCCCACCATGTATTGAGTGACCCTCGAGACCACGTCCAGGTTCTCCTGAGCTACACCAGGAACACATTATTATATATATATATATTCATAATGTACATTCTCAAAGATATTGAAGTGAGTTTGTATATATTGTTGTGCTTTTATTTAGGTCTTAAAGGTCTCCTATTATACAGTTTTTCATCAATATATCACAGGTCTCAGATATATACAGAGCCTGTCTCTGATTGGCTGAAACACCAAACAGATCATTGCAGCATTACCCATAATTCCCTCTGTTTCAGCCCTGTTTCCAAAGTGCTGATTCTCTGTCTGTTACTTTAGATGAAAATAAGGAGCCCCTCCCCACGCCCCTCTGAGAGACATTTGGTTACAAAGAACTCAATGGAGCTCTAGGAGGAGATTCAGGTGATAAGGGGGGGGGGGGTTACCTTGGTTGCTGATTGGCTAATGGTTACACAAGACAAGACATCGTTATGACATCATAGAGTGGCCAAAATCTGATCAGCTCATTTTCAGACAGGTTTTTATAGAAATGGATCAAAAAGAGAGAGAATCTTTGTTCCTGAAACTTTCAGAGTCTCTTTCCACAGAGGGGACACATGTTGATGTAGAAGAGACATGAAGAAGAGGGGACACATGTTGATGTAGAAGAGACATGAAGAAGAGGGGACACATGTTGATGTAGAAGAGACATGAAGAAGAGGGGACACATGTTGATGTAGAAGAGACATGAAGAATAGGGGACACATGTTGATGTAGAAGAGACATGAAGAAGAGGGGACACATGTTGATGTAGAAGAGACCTGAAGAAGAGGGGACACATGGTGATGTAGAAGAGACATGAAGAAGAGGGGACACATGTTGATGTAGAAGAGACATGATGAAGAGGTTTTGTATAATAGGTGACCTTTAATGTGTGCATATGTATAAATGTGTATTGATTGTGTATATATAGGATATACATATTTTTATATATATTTGTTTTTGTACACACAAACTGAAAGATTGACAATAAAGTTGACTTTTGATATGTATTAATTATATACTGCTTACTACGGAAGTCCTGAGAAGCAAAGAGGAAAAGTATTTTTGGGATCCATTATCTTAGTCTAAGATAAATAGTTTTCCAGTTTTGGCAATTTATGACATGTGAAAAAAAGAGTAATCTTATGTAACCTAACTTCATTTGGGATTTTTTTAAACGGTGAAAAATACATAAATAACACAATATAAGATTTTAGTGACCTTTTTATCATCTGTGAAAATAGTTTTAAAGAACAAGTGTTGGCTGGTGAAAACTTTAATTTGGCCAGGATCATTTGAATAATTTGAATGTAATTGCACATTTTATAACCAGCAAAATACTGAATACTGTACATATCGAGAGACATTAATTCAGATGTTTGTTTTCATTCTGGAAATGACCAGTTTTCCCGATTGGAGATGCTGTAAACTCCATAAAAAAAATCAACAATATTAAATATAAAAGTGCCCACCAACAACAGGAGCCTCTGGTTTGTGGAACAGGTCTCTCCACGCTGCGTCCTGAAACAAACTGTTGTATCGATAGTCGATCGTGCCGAGATATTTGGAGACCGGATGAGCACCTGAACCAGGAGAAGAAAACAAAAACACAACAGCTTTAGAGACAAGTCAGAGAAATACTGAGAGCACTTGTAGCCTCAGAATCTGTTAATAGCGGGAGATGGGCAAAGGGCATGGGAAAATGTAAAAACAACAACATTAAGCACAATTATTGCTTTAAGTCTTGTTTATGTTGTTGTTTCTTGTATTCAGTGAGACTATGGAACAGTGTGAATGTGGAGCTAAAGCGATGTCCAGACATTAACCAGTTCAAGAGGGAATACAGAGAAATTATTTTCTCGAGGTGCAGGGATGGGGAAGGTGTTTGACTATGTGTATGTGTATATGTGTGAGTATTTAGGTGTGTATATGTATATGTGCATATATGTATATGTGTGTATGTATGTGTGTATGTACATATGTGTATATGTATATATGTCAATCAACAGGTAAAGCAGATTCATAATAATAATTAACAATAATGATAATTGATAATTGATGTCGCCAGGGAAAAGAAAGTTTGGGGCTCTCTGCTGGAACTGCTACCCCCGCGACCCGACCACGGATAAGCGGGAGAAGATGGATGGATGGATGGATGGATGGATGGAATAATGATAATTATTGCAGATTATAGATTATAAATAAATCATTTAGGGACAAGGGGGTGAGATTAAATAAGTTATACTTCTTCTCACTCCTTTTCGAACACTAGATGTGGGACTGTTTATGTTGCTTATGATGTTGTTGTTGTTGTAAATGTCATTTTTTGTTTTGATTTCTCTTACATGACTATGCACTGCAAAAAAAATTGTTTTGTAATTATTTATTTTACTTGTTCGAAATAAAATGTATCAATCAATTCATCTGTCCACATTTGTTATCTCAATTTGCTTTTGTTTGACTTTCTGTTGTTCAGAATCAGAATACCTTTATTAGTCCCACAGAGGGGACATTTACATTTGTTACAGCATAAAAGAGCTAAAGACAGCTTAATGTTAACTAAGAAGCATGCATTAAAAAAAATACACATACTGTAACAGTTCTAAAGATTGTTATTTAATATCTGCTTTCTATCCATCAAAGGAGTTCATAAACAGTATTTTAAAGGTGCTTTATGAATACAATTCTCCAAAACTATCATTTCATTATTAGCACATTTAGCAACATGTAAACCTGCCATTATCATATATCCCTGTTTGAACATAAATACCACCTTTAAATACAGGTTAATACACCATTAAAGTGGTGTTTTAGCTCCTCACCCAGCGGTATGACGAGGAACCTCATGTATCCGAGCCAGTCGGGGGTCTTGTGGGAGAGATGGTCCACGAACAGCCTCAGCACGGCGCTCAGGTAGTGCTGCGCTCCGGCCACCGCGATCTTTATGGGGACCGGCGTCTGAGAGTTACAGTTACAACTACGAGAGGAGAGGAGGAGGAATGATGAGCTTAAAGTTAACAATGTGGTCGAGCTGCTCGTGGAGCTCACCCGTCCCAGTGCACTAGTGATGGGAATTATTATCGTTCTGTTCCTTTCAAAGAGCCGTTCAAAAGAGCCTTTCTTTTAAAGGGGGCGGGGTTACTAGGTTTATCTGCGAAATAATCACCAGGATAATGATTGACTGTATTGCCAGACCTAATGTCAATACTCTGCATCGTAAACATGACACAAGGTGGCGCCATATCCATGTCATTCATGTCAATGAATGTACTACTTTGAATTTACCCTCTGCCTTGCCTTGAATGAAATTCACGTAGCCTAACTCTTAATATTAGATAGGCCTACTGTGTTTTTAAGTGGCGATGGATATTATTTGTTGACCCTGCTTTAAAGGATATGTTGCCTTTACAAATGGTGCGCTTTATCGCTGCCTGGGTTTTGGTTGAAGTGCATCCAAATGCTGCTGCGTTTTCGCGTTTGGCTAATTTTCCATCTGAAAAACACGTCGTCTAACTCAGGGGTTCCCAACCCCCAGTCCGCGGACCGGTACCAGGCCGCGGAGGTGTTACTGCCGGGCCGCGAAATAGCTGTGAGTTTATCGTAATATTTGCAGAATTATAAATATATAAAAATATTTTATCATAATATTTTTTCAAAAAGCGTTTAATTTTCGCACCTATAGGCCTACCAGTCATATTATTTCATCCAGTAGTCTAGTTAATCTTTCACCAGATACCGTTGAAAATGGCTTTTATGATGTTCCGATGGATTCGGCGGCTCAGCCTGGTCTCAGCCTCTCGTGCAAACGAGAAAGTTACCGGTGCGCCAAGTAGGAAGAGGAGCGCACAGGAGACAACCGTTTAATTGCAGACTGTTATGTTTATGTGGGGAAATGGCAGTGCATACATTATTTGAGATATATTTCAAACTCTGACTTCATTTTAACGACATGTCGGCCAGGGGTGTAGAGCTATTTGTTTAAGCACCGGATTAGCAAAACAGGAGAGTAAACCAGTCTGCCTTGATCTATGAATTCATGTCCGGGACTCTCACGGTATCTGCTGCCCGCAGCTGTTTGAAGGAAAACCTCCTTCACTTCATGAAATGGCTGCAGCATCAGGAAGTAAAGCACCAGCGGGTAAAGATGTGCCTTTTTACGCACCGCCTTCGCTGTGTTTACCTTCATCCAGGGGCGGACTGGCCATTGGGAATACCGGGAGTTTCCCCGGTGGGCCGACGCTGTGTGTGGGCCGGAGGGCCAAAAAAAAAAAAAAGGAATTCTTTTTTTTTTGCCTAAATCCTACCGGCCCACATTTGTAAGTGTTCCGGCCCAGCCCAGCCCAGTGGGGTGTGGCCAGGGTTGGGTTGTAACGGAATACATGTAACGGCGTTACGTAATCAGAATACAAAAATCAAGTAACAAGTAACTGAAGACTTTTCTTTTTGTCGCTGCTTTTAATTTAATTGAACTATTCATATCTTAGACTGCACTGTAACTTTTATCCATGTACTTTTTCTTTTAATGTTTAATTGAACTATTCATATCTTAGACTGCACTGTAACTTTTATCCATGTATTTTTTCTTTTAATGTTTATTTTATTAGCTTTTCTTTTTAATGACTGATTTTAAATGCCATTTTCTTAATGTCTTTCATTTTTTGTAAAGCACTTTGAATTACCTTGTGTTGAAAAGTGCTATATAAATAAACTTGCCTTGCCTTGCCTTGCCTTGTATTCAGCTCGCGTTACATTTGAAAAACTAGTAATCTGAATACAGTTACTTTCGTAAACCTGAAGTGAATACATTTTGGATTACTTATTGGAATTATTGGTGGAAAGATTTCCTCACAACATTTAATATTCATTACTAAAGGTACAGCCGAATCATCACAGCGCACAAAACCGCGCAGATGGACCAAAAAGGGGAGCATTTGAAAAAAATGTGCGGGTCCGCTCAGTGAAACAATAACAACGTAACATGGAGGAATAAAAGTCTGCGTTCAAATCGTGTGTGTGTGTGTGTGTGTGTGTGTGTGTGTGTAGAGGTGTGTGTGGTTAAAACACATCAGCCACACCGCTCTTTAGCCTTTCTAATGATTCTGAAGGTAAACACAGTGAAGGCGGTGCGCGCTCCTCTTCTCAGAGGCTGAGTTAACCCTCCCGCTGCCTCCTGGTGCTGCAGAGATTTCATGAAGTGAAGGAGGTTTTCCTTCTATAAAACAGCTGCGGGCAGCAGATACTGTGAGAGTCACAGACATGAATACATAGATCAAGGCAGACTGGTGCACACACTCTCCTGTTTTGCCAATCCGGTGCTTAAACAAACATAGCTCTACACCCCTGTCCGAAATGTCCTTAAAATGAAGTCCGAGTTCGACATTTTAATTCATGTCCTGCCAACACTGGCAGGACAGAAGGCGACACGCCCTTTCTAAGCCATGTCCTCACATCCCAAGCTGCATGTCCGGTGCCTTGCTCAAGGGCACCACGGCAGGGCAGGAGGTGAACTGGGACCTCTCCAAGTAGAAGTCCACACTCCAAATAGGTCTGGTTGGGGACTTGAACCGGCGACCCTACGGCTAACAGTCTAAGCCCCTACTGACTGCCATAGATTTAGTCCCTAATTTTGCTCTCAAAATGGACCAAAAAAAAAATCTTCCCGGGGGAGCTTGCCCCCGGACCCCCCTAGAGGAGGTGAGGTCCACCACCTGCCCACACCCCCTGTTAAAGTCTCACCCACATTGAGGATGCTTCCTACGCCCATGTTTTATTCCATGTGTCAAGTCAGGCAAATTGGGTCAAAATGTTATTGCATCAATGATCTGTTAACATTAAAATCACTAAATATATGCCGTAACTATTTTGCTCTAGGCAACTCAAGGGCTCAGGTAATGTGACTACTATATGAATAATGGTCCAAAATAACATAAAATGCATAGGGTTTTTTGTTAAATAACATACTTTCGTCGCCGGCCGGCCGATACATGCCGCGCATTAATGGCGCGTTTCCACTGCAGCGGGTAGCCCCGTTTAAGCGTCCTTAACCGTCCTCAAGCGGCCAGGCCGGTTTTTGGTGGCGTTTCCATATAGCCTAGTACCGGCCAGCGGGTACTTTTTCCCTCTTTTTCCGGCCTCATAAAATCGTGGTTCCCTCAGACCAGGGCCAGGGCTGAACTAGTGACGTCAACACTCTCGACTGCTGATTGGTCAGAGAGAATCGTCACAAGATCGCGCGCAAGTTCATCCCTAGCGTCGCATATATATTTAGAAGCAAGCTTGCAGCATTTTTATAAACAGCATTTTGTAAACGGATGAGCTACAAAAATGGCTACGTCTAATAAGAAAAGCACACCGTGGTCGACCGAGGAGGTGACGACGTTCCTACATCTCATTGGGGATGATCAAATCCAGCGGGAGCTCGACGGAACAACTCGAAATGTGAACAAAAACAAAGCCGATCGCCCCGCCTACACTGCATGCTACCCCAGGTCCTAAACTGTAATGGAAATGCGCCACGGCCTGGGCCGGCCAGCGAGGCAGCCCAAGGCCAGAGCGAGGACGCTTAGGGACGCTTAAACGGGGCTACCCAGCTGCAGTGGAAACGCGCCATAAGTGGGCCTGTCTGTCAATTAATCCCCGGGCCACTTTTTTCCCCCAGTCCGCCCCTGCCTTCATCAGAACAGCTTAAGAGTGACTGCAGGCTGCTACGTGTTAACCACACACACCTCTACACACATCTCTACACACATCGAACTGCCGAATACTCCCCCTTTTATTAGTTTTATGAAGGAGATGTCCAGTCACCAAGGCGCATGATGTGTGTGTGTGTATGTACTCAGTTAAGCTCTGTACGTTCGGTGTGTTTGTGTCTGTCCGACACCGGCATTTGTTTTCAAATGACCATGAACAGTAATTTACACACATCTGGCTAACTCCATAGGTAGCCTATATGCAGGTGTTCCCAAAATAAATTAGTTTAATCTTAATCTCGATGTAGTGCTAAATGCTATCGGAGTGCATCGGAACGAACGTCACTATCATAATATCTTCTGAAAACAAATGCCAGTGACACACACACACACACACACACACACACACACACACACACACACACACACACACACCACACACACACACACACACACACACACACACACACACACACACACACACACACACACACACACACACACCACACACACACACACACACACACACACACACACACACACACACCACACACACACACACACACACACACACACACACACACACACACACACCACACACACACACACACACACACCATAATGCGCCTTCTCCTCGTTTTCCCAGCATTCACTGGATTATCCGTAAATCATACAAACAAAACCAAAACGTTGATTTATCTGTTTTCCCGTTTTGGTTTAAAAACTGAATAACGTTGGTTTTCCGGTTTTCCGGTTTTCCGAAAAACCAAAAAACGACACCGGTTCTTTTTTAAACGTTGTTAATATGTTTTGGATGCATATTGTTCTAGTATTTGTTCAGGCTGTTACATACAATTAGCCTCTGTTGCTACTGATGGTGAGTAAATATTAAAATCAGTTCAAATTGACAACCGGTCCACGATTTTTTTTTTATGTATCTGCCGGTCCTTGGCACAATAAAGGTTGGGAACCCCTGGTCTAACTGTCCTGTTATGACTTCTCTCTCGCGCGTATTCCCTTAAGACCCACCCCATCTCACTCCTCGTGCTGAAACCTACCAATCAGAGTTTGAAGAGCGGGTCTTCACAGAATACGTTTGGGGAACAAAATCAAGCTTTTTAAAAGGCGAGTGGATTTTGGCAGGCAGTGAGTGCGGACCAACGATTGAACGATAACAAGAACGGCTCTCACCAAGTACGACTCGGTTCCCCTCGTTCATATCAAAGAGCCGTTCCAAAGAATCGGCTCGTTCGCGACCGACACATCACTAGTGCACTTATTAAAGGTCCTCTATCAACACAGAGGTGAGAAACTCGCTTTGTACCCTATTTATGTTTGGGATTTTATTGGTGAGCTCTGCATCACATTGCTTTCTTCCTCCAAACACAAATCCATTTCTATAACAGATGCAATTGGTTGTCTTACATCAGGGGTGTCCAAACTTTTTTCACCGAGGGCCACACACAGAAAAATATACGAAGGGTTGGGCCACTCACTACAGGTGAGGTATATTGCGTCATAAATTATAAGTCGGCAAAATCAATCAAATGTAAGTAAATTATGCTTAATCAGCGTACATCCCAGCTCTACATAGGGTTTCCATTATTTTGTTGGTAGCTCATTCCTTACAACAGAAGTCTCAGATTCAAAATGGTCTGCGGGCCGCATTTTGCCCCCGGACCGTAGTTTGGACACCCCTGTCTTACATGCTTCGGTTCACGTTCAAGCATGCAGAGCTTTAATTCAATATTGTTTGAGTAAACTTCTTCTAAAACACTTAATGTGATAATGGCTCAATGAGTCAAAAACACATTTCCTTTATTGGGTTATATCTTATTTAGGAGGTGTGTGTCCATGACTATTTGGCGGTCCGTATTTGTGGGGAGATGTTCTTTATGGGGACCGGCATCTAGAGTTACAGTACAACTACGAGAGGAGAAGAGGAATAATAAGTTCAACTCTCACAAACAATATCTAAAGGCTGACTCACAATCTCTGGATGCGGGACACGATGGTGTTTAAGGCGGCCTGGATGTCGGCCGTGGTGCAGGTGCAGACCACTGGGAGCTGCTGGTTCTGCAGCAGGTCGGACAGATACTGGGAGGAGGGGGGGGAGAAAGGGGGGGGGGAGAAAGGGGGGGGGAGAAACAGATGAGAAAATAACAACAAGAAGGTGTGAAAAGCATTTCCAGCTCATAAATGTATTTGTTAAATCAATGATTTCCAGCGATCCTTTAATCATAAATTCTTTATGCTTTCTAAAAAAATCCAAGAAACTATATATTTTTTAATTTGGTTTTACTTAGATTGACAGGAAGACATTTTATCACCTTCAATTTTTAAATGTTAAACATAAAAGACAAAACTGAATAAGTACAAAAAATATAAAAATATACATTTTAAGAGACTATACATTCATATATTTCGGGACCCTCTTGAAAACGAGATGGTGCATCTCAAGGGGTTTATCCCAATCAATAAAAATGTCTATATATACCACTCCGTTCATTCATTTACCCTTTCATATTTATAAATATATGTATTCACACTTATTCTTCCACATTTGTCAGAAGCCTTTAAAAAATGTATTATATAAAAATATATATATATATATATAAAAAATTATAATAGTTCATAACAAATTAACAAAAAAGTCAATTTATTTTTAAAAATACACAAAAAAATATTATAATAATAATAATTTGAAAAAATAAATTAAAAACCTAATTAAAAAAATATCTCTATAGCCTCTCCATTAAAACATAAATATTTAAGTTATCCTTGTTACTTAAAAAATGTATAGTATATACAATATAATTTCAAGTAACAATTGTAATATGTATCCATCGTGTTAAGAACATTTAATAACGCCAGCATTGAGACGTAGGTGGTGCTTGTTTTCCTCACCTGGCCCTGCCAGTCGGAGGTGTTAATGAGGATGATGCTGTCGGGGAGCTGGTTATCAGAGACCAGGATGTGATTCAGCTGATCGTACACCGTCTTCCTGGGGATCTACGGAGGGAAAACAACCTGTAACTAACAGGTATCACAAGGGAACCCCTGACTTCATTACTGACATTAAGGCTTCTCACCCACACCAAGCCATGGCACCATATCACTCCCACCCTCATCCACCTACATTGGCTGCCGGTCAAGTCCCAGATTCAATACAAAACACTCATCCTCACGTACAAGTCCCTCCATTCCCTCGCCCCCCAGTACTTATCGGACCTCCTCCATCCCTACACCCCTTCTCGGACTCTGCGGTCCTCAGACACGGGCCTGCTCTCCATCCCCCGCTCTCGCCTCCGAACTGTTGGTGACAGGGTGTTCAGGGTTGCGGCCCCCACCCTCTGGAATGCACTTCCTGCCGAGATCCGTAATGCTGCCTCCCTGGACATCTTCAAATTATCACTAAAAACACACCTGTTCACCCTGGCCTTCGGGCCCTAGCCCTTTTCTGGTCCCCCGGCTTCCTTTAGTTATTTCTTTGGTTTGCCTGTTGATTGTCTGTTTGTTTTGTTTGTCCACCATGTACAGCGACCTTGGGTCCCTTGAAAGGCGCTATATAAATATCATTTATTATTATTATTATTAACACAAGTCTTTTTATATTATTATTATATTTTCTGACATGTTCTGTTTAAATATGTCCATGTAGTTGTGTCCTCCGACACAGACTATAACACCTCTTGTTGTTAAATACAAACTATGTGCATATATATACGCTGTTAATAACCGTGTTATATATACCTAGCTGCTAAATCTTCAGAACTGTTACAGGATGTGTATTTTGTAAATTGTGTAATTTTCTTTAATTATATGTATGCATCAGAATCAGAAGCAGAAACAGGTTTATTACCTGGTAGGTTTACACGTACGAGGAATTTGACTTGGTGTCGTGGGGCATACATACAAGTAAAACAATAATTAAAAACACAGGTAGAGAACTAGTAAAAAACTAACTAACTAATAAAAAATATAGTAAAATATAACAGTATTTACACTGCAATGGGATGGAATAAAAAGGAATAAAATATGGAATAATAATCCGCAGTAATAAAAAAAAGAACACAGATATTGTTGTACATTGTGTGCATTCATGTAATGCATAGATGCTTGCATGCTTCTACGTAACATTAAGCTGTCTTTGGCTCTTTTCTGCTGTAACAAATCTACATTTCCCCGCAGTGGGAATAATGAAGGTGATTCTGATTCTGATTCTGATTCTGATTCTGATTCGACTCCGACCTGCAGGTGGCAGCGTGTGTCCAGCGACCGCTCGTTGTCCAGACTGTTCGCTCTCTCGTTCTGCGGTCGGCTCGGCTGGCGCTCCTTCAGTGACGTACTCCGACCGCGACGCCCCGCCAACTTCGGCTCCTGCCTGGAAACAACAACAACAACAACAACATTTAACACATAAATTGTGATTTAGAAAACAACATGTAGATATATAATAATAATAATATACATACACTTATGTTGACACATTTATTTCCTATTTCTCCCCTTTAAATTACATTTATTTATTGAATAAAAAACCTGAATTGAAAATGTTTCCTATATATACAGTATATACAGTATATGTCATTTAAATGTCAATTTACCATCTTTAAATGTTTTTAATAAGCATGTTATATACTGTGTTATAGTTATATATGTATGTTACCTGTTTGAGGAGATTATTAGAGACTCTGTCTTCGTCATCTTGCCGATGGGAGGAAGTCTCTCCAGAAACGTGTCCATGTTGTCCATCTCCAGCTCCGTGGTGGGGGTCACCGCCTCCGGCTCATCCTGAGGGGAAACATGGAGAAAAAGAGGGTTATTTTTAGATAAGAGATGATTTTTAAGATAAGATAAGATAGGACTTTATTTATCCCGAAGGAAATTGTTGTGCCAGAGTTACAAAGATGAAATAAACACAGCAGCATAATTATAAAACTGTACACTAACAGTGCAGTGAAAAGAGCAATTAAATATCTACAGGAAACATAGACGGACACATAATTAATGTAAATATTAACAGAAAGTGCATTATTCCTTTTTCATTACATTACATTCAGTGCTTCTCAAAGTGTGGTCCGCGGACCACTGGTGGTCCGTGAGCGCCCCCTAGTGGTCCGTGAGTATATTGGTAAAATGTCACATTTGAAATAAATAAATTGATTAAAGTGTTCCGCACTCTCGCGGGAATATCTCCGCAATGGAGTGAGCTTAAGTTTCACTTTCGATTGCATGATATAGCCCAGATAAACACCTTCATCACACATGTGGCCACTTGTTTGTACCATTTTCAGGCGATTTGTAAAAAACTATGTGTTTTTGGATATTTGTGGAGTTAGGTGGTCCGCGAGTGGTTTTTTATTGGTTAAGTGGTCCTTGGTATGAAAAAGTTTGAGAAACACTGCATTACATGTTACTTGTTAGACGCTTTTATCTAAAGCGATACTCAATACTGTGGGCAATCCCCACAGGAGCAATTTAGGGTGAAGTGTCTCAGGGACACAACGACATGCTGACTGCAGTGCAGTGGGGTTTGAACCTGTGACCCCCTGACCCGAACACCAACGCACAACCCACTGCACCACACACCTTAAATGTCATTAATGACTGCAGACTTAAAGGTGGGGTAGGTAAGTTTGAGAAACCGGCTCGGGATACACTTTTTGTTATATTCCATGGAATGCTCTTAACATCCCGATAGCAATGAATATCTGAAGTGCTTTGACAAAAAATCCATACAAACATTTCATCTGTGGAAGCCGTGGCGCTGTAAAAAGCACGACCAATCATCTGAGCCGGCCCGGCTAAAGTAACTGGATGGCCTACCTGCCTGTCAGCCTTCCATCTGTGCACAAACTTATCTCGTGCCCTCATTGGTCATGTGCGCGTTTGTGTGTGTTGGAGGAGGGGCTCTGTAAGGAAGTCTGAAGGAAGTGGCAGATTTTTTCCGGCTGTGTATTTTCAAACTCTAGCGCACTCGAGCTGGTTTCTCCAAAATTAACGGCTCAATCGGGTCTTCTTTCTGTATGTCACTGAATTTCTGCAGCTTTAAATGCTAAAAAGTGCTTATTTTCACATGTTTTCCGTTATATATTTGACTTACATGACAAGAATAATGGTCTTGAGTTTGAAGAGTTAATATACTCACAAAGGAGACGATATCCGACACGGCGTCATCTGGAAATTTGAGCCCGGCACTCTTTGTTTTATCTGGGTCAATCTGCAACCACACGGTGGGAAATATAATAAACCAGAAGTTTTAATTTCACAGAACAAGTAAAGAGTTTGTTTATTTAAAACCTCGTGATAGATTCCTGCACAGCAGAAGCCTTGAGGTTCCACAAATAGACGTTATCAGGTGATAAATGGTGGGAAAATCTGACTTTACACTGGTTACACTTTATCACTGTCTTATTAAAGCGGCCCTATTCTGATTTCAAGGATTTTACCTCACCTGTAGTTTGTTCTGTACGTTTTTGTACATGTCAATGGTTTGCAAAGGCTAAAATAATAATGGCCATAGAGCTCCAACACATTGTACGTTCTATGCTAACGGGCGGGACATCTCTAAACTGTTGACCAATCACAACAGAGCCAACTGGAACATGTTTAAATATTATTTGTCTCATACTGTCCGTCTAAAAGGCGAAATGTTTGCGTCTTTACGCCCCCCTCCCAAAAAAAGGGGGTAGATCTCAAGCTGTCAGAGCAGACTATAGCCTGCATAAAGTATGTGTTGGTACGGACTCCACATATACAAATGCTTTACACACAAGCAATGACAAAGTGAGTTTTTCATTAATGTCCCTTGAAAAAGTTGTATTAAGAGCAGTGGTTTCTCACCGGGCTCGGGGGCTCTCGGTGGCTTCGGACGCTGTGGAGGCTGCCGATCTCCGTCTGAGAGCTGGAGAGAGAAACACCCTCGAAATATGGCCTGAAACACAAGAAAACTGAAAATAAATTACTTTAAATCTACATGAATGCTCTTCTGAGTCTGAATCATTCCTCATTCCTGAAGTTCTGTGTACAGGAATGATTCCTAAACCCTGATATGACTCAGCATTTTGTGCTGTAGTTCCTTTATAGCCCAACATTAGCCACCTTTAGCTTAGCGGTGGTGACGTGAAGTCATGTGACCGTGCTGTAGTTCCTTTATAGCCTAATGTTAGCTTTTGGCTTTAAAAATTATAAAGTGGTGTTAATATGTGGACTTTATCCTGCTGAACAAAACGTGTAAGTAGGCTATCATAAACGTTTGTTGGACACAGAGATTATTTCTGACAATCCAAAATCACAACCAGGGAGATGCTGCCTTCAGGGACCAACACAGAAACACCACATTCAGGTATGTTCAAACACACACAGATGAACACACACTTGAGTTTGGGTTTGGGCGTGCTCAGGACGCTGTCGTCGTCGTCCAGCTCCGGCCCGCTGTCGCTCGGGTTCTCAAACTCCACGCTGTCCAGATCCAGATCCTCCTCCTCCACCTCGGGGGGGGGCTCTGCAGGGTCCTGCTCCGAGTCCAGCACCTGCACACACACACACACACACACACACACACACACACACACACACACACACACACACACACACACACACACACACACACACACACACACACACACACACACACACACACACACACACACACACACACACAAAACACTGTTAGGGATCTAAACTTGAAGAGCAACACAAGCAGTAGTAAAAAGTAACTTTCACTTGAGTACTTTTTTTCAAGTTCATGCTACTTTCTACTTCTTCTCCTTGCAATGCAGAGGTGACTTTAAGAATGGCACCTATCCCTCACACTGCTCCCCATTGCTGTAGAATAGTGGCGGCTCCTATAACATGATGCTGTAAATGCAGAGACCTAATGTCAGTGTGGGGGCAGTGCTGTGGTTGGTGATAAAACGTGGATTTAATTTGAATCCTATGCAAAAGAGTTGATAGCACACAAAGAGTTATTTACAGCTTTAATAAGGTCCATTGGGTTATGGACGTGTCGCTGCAACTGTGCATTTATCCAGTCGTTGGCTCACTACTTCCCAAACATATGCATTTTCCTATTATTAAAAAACCTGCTGTAAAACACCATGAACACTTTGAGGTAGGCGGTATTTATTTTAGTAAAAGATCTGAACGCAGAAACACTCACCTCTTCTGAGACTCTGAAGCGCTTCAGCAGGGCGACGACTCTCTGCTTGAAGTTCTGCTGCTAAAACACACACACACACACACACAGTTAAGTGAGTGTGAGCCTATTATAATTTACTACAGAGCTCAGCTACACACAGCTGCAGATTTTACCGGCAGCAGAAGCCTGTATTGATTTCCCTGCATGTGCTCATGTGAGTCAGAAACATCATCTGCTTTCTGAGGGTCCTGCTTCTACTGAGCTCTACTGTATAGAACCATGTTATTCACATACAAAAACACACGACAACTGTCTCATTAAAGTTCATGTTTCTATTACTTTAAACTCTATCTTGGTCTCTTACTCTGGTGATGGACGTCGTCCTCACGATGGACCTCCTCTGCTTCTTCGGCTTCCTCACGTCGTACTCGTCATCCTCCAGATCCTGAAACAACACAGGGACGTTTAAACACAGCCTCTCATGAATAGAATATCATAGAATCCTTTATTGTCATTATACAGGTACTGTTAGAGAAATACTGTTGTCTCCACTTAATGGGTTTGTGTTAATGCACTGATACTATGTGTGACTCTGAACTGTGTACGACCTTGCAGCTGCGTCTTGCTGTGATAGGAGGAGGCAGGGCATTTCAGGTTGTTTATATTTATGAGGAGACAGACTTGTTGTCTCCTAAATATCTCATTTCTATGAGGCGTGAAGGAAGAACGTGACTCTTTCCAGAAGACGTCACAGATTACCCCGACACCCGCGGATGATATTAGCGCCACCTCGATTTACGACTTTGTTGTTATCTCCGTGTTGTGGACTCCATAAGCCTGATGTTTTTTGCTGCTCCGGTGAGCAACATACCCCATGTGTGTGAGTCAACCCATATCCTTTGTATGTGCTCCTTCTTGCAAGAATAAATTAGTACCTGATTATTGATTCTCAACCTGGTGTCGAGTGATATTTTCCTATGAGATGAGAGCTACTCCTTTTTTTAAGGTGCCATCAAAAATACAAAAAACCAACAAGAGACGTAGAACATTCAGGAGGAGACAACATACAAACAACAAGCATTCATAAAGGCTGATGACGGCTTGAAGTTTGTCTTAAATGCTGCAGTGCAAATACAGATGTTGTATCCTAGCAGAGTGCTTGAAGGGTAGATTTGGTATTTTCCTAAGTTGGACTTAATTTCGTTATGTTTTTATGTCCTTAAAATGTTGACTCAGTTAAGGAAAATAGATTTATGAGAGCTGTTTTCTTCCCTTAAAGTGGACCTATCATGCTATGTTGGAAAAATATATTGTAGGGCCATACCTATATAAAACATGTCTGTGAAGTTTTTTGCTTAAAATACCAAACAGATCCCCCGTTGTCGCCATGCCTCATACTGCTCATACCCCTCTTTTGCTGCCCTGTTAGAGAAACGCAGATTTTGGGTCTTTAGCTTGAAAAAAAAAGAAGAGGAGGCGGAGCTAATGCCTGATCAGAATTCTACCGGAGATAAAGTTAAATTCTACTGTGATAAAACGTCATCCTGTTCTAAACCACATCAAGGATTATTTCTGAAACAGCATGGAGCTCAAAGGCTTTTTCTCTTGCAGGTTTATCACAAGGTGAGTTACTTTCTTTATTTCCTGCTTTTTAAACACATGCTCTCTCCAGTACAGGTTAGCTCTGAGTGTTAGCGAGGCTTGCTAATGTAAACAAAGACGAGATTACGTCCAAAACACGTCAGGCATTGTTTCTGATAGCAACTCTCTGTGGGTCCACCGACGTCACAGCGGATGGAAATCTGTATCCGCTCGTTGTACACCCGTTTTTAGATATTTGGGTACGGAGGAAAAGAGAGAGCGTTTTATTTTCTGACGCTGCGTGAGTTCCCTGACACACCGGGGACACATATTTATGTATAAAAGACATCACAAAGTGCATTTTGCATGATAGGTCCCCTTTAAGTTGCTTGTTTGTTTCAATTACTTAAGGGTATTTTGGTGCCACTGATTTTACCTTAAGGAAGCTTTAAAGGTGGTTTAAAGGGACTTAAAGGTGAGTCTTAAGTTAAGGTGTTTTGTTCGGACTCACCTGTCCCTGCACGGCGTCGTCGCTGGCCTCCTGCTCTGAGGAGAAGCTCTCGTACTCTTCCTCTGAGTAGTTATCTGAAGAGGGGGAGGACAGGAAGAAGAACACGCCATTATACATACTTTAATTTCTCTTAAAGGTCCCCTATTATTCGGTTTTTCATCAATATATTACAGGTCTCAGATATATATATACAAATATGTCTCTGAAGTGTTTGGCTCCAAACACTAAACAGATCATTGCAGCATTACCCATAATCCCCTCTGTTTCAGCCCTGTTTCCAAAGTGCTGATTCTCTGTCTGTGACTTTAGATGAAAATAAGGAGCCCCTCCCCACGCCCCTCTGAGAGAGATTTGGTTAAAGAGAACACAATGGTGCTCTAGGAGGAGATTCAGGTGATAAGGGGGGGGGGTACCTTGGTTGGTGATTGGCTAATGGTTACACAAGACAAGACATCGTTATGACATCATAAAGTGGCCAAAATCTGATCAGCTCATTTTCAGATAGGTTTTTATAGAAATGGATCAAAAAGAGAGAGAATCTTTGTTCCTGAAACTTTCAGAGTCTCTTTACACAGAGGGGACACATGTTGATGTAGAAGAGACATGAAGAGAGGGGACACATGTTGATGAAGAAGAGACATGAAGAAGAGGGGACACATGTTGATGTAGAAGAGACATGAAGAAGAGGGGACACATGTTGATGTAGAAGAGACATGAAGAAGAGGGGACACATGTTGATGTAGAAGAGACATGAAGAAGAGGGGACACATGTTGATGTAGAAGAGACATGAAGAAGAGGGGACACATGTTGATGTAGAAGAGACATGAAGAGGAGGGGACACATGTTGATGTAGAAGAGACATGAAGAATTGGATTTTGCACAATAGGTGACCTTTAAAAGGCTCTGAATGTGCATGATGAAAAGGACACTTATGGGAGTCTAAGAGTACCTGAGCATTTGATCTTGGGTCCCTCGCTGAGCGCCGCCTCCTCGTGGTCGATGGGCTGGCTGCTCAGAGAGAAGATCCAGATCTCCGCCACCTTCCCCTGGAGCTCCTTCTGATGGGAGCAGAGCGGGAGAACCTGGCCTCCCTCTGGGGGGTGCTGCATCACCTGGGGAGGGGGGGGGAGATATCCAGTCACTTTGCATCCCAAAATCATGCAATACAGACATTAACCTGTTGGAAAAATGGCTGCCTTTTTACGTAAAAATGCAGAAATATGAAGTTCTACAGTACACCCTATGAAAGACTAAACAGTTGCTTCTTTAGTCCTTTATGAGTGTGCCTGTAAATTCCAGATATGCAGATACTTATTGACATCATGCAAATTGAACCACGCCCAGATACAGAGAAAAAGGCAACGAAATATGTTGTTGTATTTTATTATTTAAAGTGGACCTATCATGCTAATTTTAGGCAATAGCATAGGGCTGCTCAATTAATCGTATTTTAATCGCAATTACGATTATGGCTTGCAATGATTACGAAAACAACGTAATCGAAATAAAACGATTATTCTTATTATTCTTTTTATTTTTTTGGTTTTTCAGTTGAATTATACTTAAAGTTCAGGGTAATCAACAGTTAAAAACATACTGTTCAAATGTTTGTTCTCCAATAAATTGATGTTTTCAAAGTAAATGGATAACGGTTTTTAATAATCGTGATATCAATTATTGACCCAAATAATCGAGATTATGATTTTTGCCATAATCGAGCAGCTCTACAATAGCATAGGTCTCATATATATAAAAATATATAAAAAACATGTCTATGAAGTATTTTGCTCAAAATACCAAACAGATTCTAGCCATGCCTCATATCCCTCTATTTCACTTCCTGTTTCAAAAGTGCTTATTTGGGTATAAAGCTTAAAACAAAAAAAATTGGATGAATAAAAAAGGAGGGTCTGAGCTCATGCGGGACCCGGCAGCTACTGTCTAAACTAAATGCTGCCGTGATGAAACGCCATATCATGGATTATCAAGGATTCTCTCTGAAACAGTTTGGAGCTCAAAGGCTTTCTCTCTTGCCGGTTATACCACAAGGTGAGTTCCTTTTTATTTCCTGCTTCTTCACACACATGCTCTCCAGTACAGGTTAGCTCTGAGTGTTAGCGATGCTAATGTAAACACCGACCATATTACGTCCAAAACAGTCGGGCATTGTTTCTGATAGCAACGTTTCTGATTGGGCCGTGGGTCCACATTTCAGATATTACGTCATATCGGACGCAAATCTGGATCAGCTCCGTTGTTCCCCGTTTTTAGAGATTTGGGTACGGAGGAAAAGAGAGAGGGTTTTATTTTCTGACGCTGCGTGAGTTCCCTGACACACCGGGGACCAGAGGTTGCGCTAGATTTTTTCGCTGCCCGTCATTTTGACGGACAGGATCGTGACATTTCCGTCAAAATCTGTTGAGATTGGGGGTGAACTGTTAGCGCCGTGTTATGCATGCCCACTGCACCTCGCGGGAGCGCAGCGTAAAGCTTGTACTCACAGACATTTCAATGATCTGTTCGGCAAAGTTAGGTTTGGAAACTATATCATTATTACTCTCTCAACCTTCAAATCCTGCCTGAAAACCATAAAACCCACCTTTTTAAACTAGCATATTCTATATCATAATTCCTCTAAACTGATTGTTGTTAAGAATTTGTTTTTTAAGTCTCTAATTACTGTTTGACCTTCTTTGTTGCTTGTTTTTAATTATCCTCTGTAAGGTGTCCTTGAGAGCTTTGAAAATAGTGCAAGATAATGTTGCAAATGACCATCATATATCATAGGTATGCATACACGGCATAATAACACCGGAGCCTCGCTGCGGGAAACGTTGGCGCTGTTCTGAGTTTATTCTAATCTGTCAAAACGACGGACGGCTTTCAGATTTTTCCGTCATTGTTAAAAGAAAAACGTCATAGACGGAAAATATTCGGTTAACGCGACCTCTGCCGGGGACACATCTTTATGTATAAAAGACATCAAAAAGTGCATGTTGCATGATAGGTCCCCTTTATCATAACAGAGGAGTCAAAAGCATTCAAAGAAACACCAAAAATATATTTGTGTTTTTGCGGCTTTTTAATGGGACTAGTATATATTAGGTTATATACTACCTGCTTTATGTTTTCAACACTGTTTCCTTAGTGCACACACAATGAGGTGCTTCTACAGACAGTATTTCAGCAATACACATGAAGTAAAACCTCCTCCCACACACTTAACTCGTTATCACCTCGTTTTAATACAGAAGAAAAAGCAATAAAAACAGGGAAAAATATGAAATAAATTCTTTATTTGACCACCTACAGTATTTGATTATAAATGAATAGACTGATAATGACTTTCTGTTCAAGTCTCTTTGAGTTTTAAGGTGGATCAATCGTTCTCCTCGTACCTCAGCTGCTGATTGTGACCTTAATTATCTCCACTGAGCTTTGGGAGCCACATGGGGTCTGATTAGCACATCGAAGATTCAAGATACAAGGATTTAAAGGCGTTATTGTCACATGAACAACAGATACTGAGTAGTTTGGCAATGAAACAAAGCAATACACAATATACTCAAAGGGAAAAGTCAAAATAGAGCAAGAGAGACAATGTGCCAAAAAGTAAATAAGTGAACTTTGCACATCTAAAACAGAATTTTAAAAAATGAAAGCTGAGCGACTTATCCATGCTTGCATTTCCTCCCCCCTTGACTACTGTAACTCCCTTCTCTACGTCATCAGCTCACCCCTCCTTCAATAAACTCCAAACGGTACAAAATGCACCCCCGACTCCTCACACACACAGTACAAATACTTTGTTACTGTACTTATTTTTCTGGTATCAGTATTTTACTCCACTAATTATTTTTCTGACGACTTTTTACTTTCTACTTCTTACATTTTGAACACCAATACCTGTACTTTCTACTTCTTACATGTTGAACTCAAATACCTGTACTTTCTACTTCTTACATGTTGAACTCAAATACCTGTACTTTCTACTTCTTACATGTTGAACCCAAATACCTGTACTTTCTACTTCTTACATGTTGAACCCAAATACCTGTACTTTCTACTTCTTACATGTTGAACACAAATACCTGTACTTTCTACTTCTTATATGTTGAACACAAATACCTGTACTTTCTACTTCTTATATGTTGAACACAAATACCTGTACTTTCTACTTCTTACATGTTGAACTCAAATACCTGTACTTTCTACTTCTCACATTTTGAACACAAATACCTGTACTTTCTACTTCTTACATGTTGAACCCAAATACCTGTACTTTCTACTTCTTACATGTTGAACTCAAATACCTGTACTTTCTACTTCTTACATGTTGAACACAAATACCTGTACTTTCTACTTCTCACATGTTGAACTCAAATACCTGTACTTTCTACTTCTTACATGTTGAACACAAATACCTGAACTTTCTACTTCTTACATGTTGAACTGAAATACCTGTACTTTCTACTTCTTACATGTTGAACACAAATACCTGTACTTTCTACTTCTTACATGTTGAACACAAATACCTGTACTTTCTACTTCTCTCATTTCCCAAACAGCTGGTTCCTTTAGTCTGAATGTGTGTTTGATGCGTGATCATTATTCTTTAGAGTCATTGCGTGCCTATTGATTTGAACACGATCCGTGTATCCATCATTTCCTGGTCTTCTCTAAAGAAGAGGGACCAATGGAAACGTTGTCATGTTGCCGTTGTTCAGCATGGAAACATTCATTAGCTAACAATGACATTATTGTTCTATTAATATAAAGGGAGGTCAGGTACTCTTTAAAACAGCTGCTAGTTATGGGTACTTTTTACTGAAGTACATTTCAAAGTCCTCTTTACTTTTACTTGAGTAAAGAAGTTTAGTCAGTACTTCTACTTTTACCAGAGTATTTTTAAACACCAGTATCTGTACTTCTACTTGAGTAAAGGATGTGTGTACTTTTGACATCTCTGCCCAATCCTCAAAAACCTTCACTGGCTTCACGTCTCCCACCACATCAACTACAACATACTGGTCCTCACCTACAAAACCCTCCACCATCTAGCATAAAAAAGCGCTATCAAATTATGTTAGGAAAATCTCACTCGTCCCCGGCTTGAGCTTCAACCTCAGGATCCATGTATTTGTGATCCTCTCCAGAATGGAAGGAGTCATCACATACAGAGCATCAACTAGTTCCTGAACAGTGTCCTTCACATGCTGATATCCAAGAGAGGGAGTTACAGTCACAAGATGCAGGAATAGAAAGCAGTATTCAATGTTTACTTCAGATTAGCTCCACGTCAGAAATGAGCATGCTTGTCATATGTCTATCTCCATAGAGGCTGAATCATCATGTTAATCACATAGCTATCATATGCCTCAAACAGTCCTGATGCTCTTCTAGGTAATCACACATCCTGTCATGTTCACAGCTACAGTTGGGATACCTTTGTTATCATGTGGACTCTCATATTGGAAGAGTACATTCAGTATTTTGCACTGACCTCACCACTTTCAAAAAACTCACAAAAACTCACCTCTTCAATCTGGCTTTTAATATGTGATTGTTTTTGTATTATTTGACTTTAACTTTAACTATATATTTATTTGTTGTTCCTTTCTTTTCTTTTCACTATATCTGTAAAGCGTCTTTGAGCACCTGTAAAAGCGCTAACAAAATAAATCTATTATTATTATTATTATTTTCCCAACAATATATAATATATTATTATTATTACCTCTGCCATGTCGATGGACCCCCCCGCGAGCGTCTTGTACCCCAGGATGGTTCTGTTCTTGTACCTCTTCCTCCTCTGCAGCAGGATCTGCAGCTTGTTCCCCTCGCGCTTCAGGAAGTGAGGGTACTGAGGGTCACATGACAAAGAGAAGCTGGATATCCTCTTATTTTAGAAGCTAGAATCAGATAATATCAGATGCTGCTCCTAGTGCTAGACTCCTGGTGCTAGACTCCTGGTGCTAGACTCCTGGTGCTAGGATGGGTTAAAAGCAGAGAACACATTTCGCTGAGTGTGCTGTGTGCTCTGCATGTGTGACCATTAAAGAGGGTTTCATCCCTCCCAATATTATTATTATTATTATATGTTTCTTCTTGGAAAAAGACTGACAACGATTATTTGTATCTGCATTAGAGTAGGCATTTTATACTTCTGTTGATCGACCAATCATTCAGCTCTATTACAAACTAAACACAGGTTCTTCGTTAGACCTTCATGTCTGATCTTGATTTGACTGACAGCCAAAAAGGAAATAACTGTCATATAGTTTTGATTTAAATGCAGATATTTAAAATGAAATGTTGCAAATTGAACCACGCCAAAATACAGAGATAAAGGCAACTAAGTCTCTAATGTAAAAATCTGTTCTAAAAAAAGAGCAGAAAATATATCGTGTTTTTGTATTATTTACAGACGAGAAGCCAAAAGCATTTCACATATTTGTGTTTTTTGAGCTTTTTACAGGACTTGTTAATAATAAAAACTATAGATTATGTTACATACTACCTGCTTTATCTTTTTAACACTTGTTCCTTAGTGCACACACAATGAGGTGCTTCTCCAGACAGTATTTCAGCAATACACAATACAAAAACAGCTGTAATTGCAAACAGTTTCCATGGCAGTGACTGAAGTAATACAGAAAGAAAACGCAATACAAACAAGCAAATGTATTAATAAATGGTTTATTTGACCACCTACAGTTCTTGATTATAACTTGACTGATAATGAGTTCTTTTATTTGCTTGTGTACCTGCAGGGAGAAGGTGAGAGCGAGGTCGGTCTCCACGGAGCCTCCGGGCGGCAGCACGATCTCATGAGAGCGCAGGATACGCTTCGAGCCCTGCAGGAACATCATCAATTATAATAATTATAATAATTAGTTGGAGTGAGCTGGAACTTTTCTGCATCCCTGCTGATGTGTTGTGCTTTGTTATATTATGTTAAAGGTCACCTATTATACTGTTTTGATAATAGGGGACCTTTAAGAGAGACCATTATACCTGTATTTTGACGGCGATCACCACAGAGATGAGCTCCTTGTCGATTTCTCTCATCACCACCAGCTTCTTCAGAGTCAGCGTGCACAGCCTGCAGAGAAACACACAAACACAGGTTTAGCTAACACAGCTGTGTTAGAAATATGTACACACACACAAACATGTGTCACTCACAAACACAGCTGTGTGTTTATTAAACAGGTTACAACAGAGTGAAACACACACAAAGCACTCCTAGCTTTCAGAACATCAGAACATAAAACTCAAATGTCTCCTTATTTATGCATTCATATTCACACTTTAGAGAAATTCTTTAATGTATTTTAACAGTGGCTAAGAAGCGGCATTCAGGTTCAGATTATTTATTGGTACTCGTAGGTAGATTTAGTTTGCAGATAAAAACACAAGGGATCCATCCCGACACACATTCTCAAAACAACAGACAGACTCCTATTCTTTCACACACAGTGACGTCACGAGCTACCCACAATGCAACACGCGCCATATATATATATATAAATACGCCATTTTCCTGGAGGTGCTAATATCCTGGAAGTACAAATATAAACAGCTAGCTAACGTAGCCAGGCAGAGCGCACTAGGTTTTTTTTCTGAATTAACGACCGAAGAAATCGCTGCATGTCTTCGGATTACATCTCTGGACTTGAGGGGTGTGCTCTAGGTCGTTACCAGCGTAAACTAGAGCTGTGTGGGTTGTCCGATTGCCCTTACAGACTGCCTGCAGATGTATGGAAAAACGACCCTCGAAAGTGGCCTTCGGTCGATTTTGGCAGCATCTACGTCTATTTTCTAGAAACACCAGGTGAATACCCCACTTGTCACAATAATATTATCATGCCATTGCATATATGTGGTATTTTAGAGTTGACTAGATATTGATTAAGGCAATAGACTATGATATTCTGCTTGCACCTCGTGTGAAATGGCGGATACCGGAAGTACGGTGTCGCCCTCGGCCCAAAACCCGTATGTGTGTGTGAAAGAATAGGCTACCCTACCTTTAATCAATAATGAGACCCAGAAAGAAAAATGTTTCAAATTTCCTTTTTTTTTTAATCACACAAGTCTTTAAGGTGGTATAAACATAATGACTAACAAAAACTAAAAAAATATATATATATTTTTTTTTATTCCTTTGTAGAGGACACCGGGTGTTAGTTATGCGAAGCATAGTATACAAGTACATTTAGACAACATTAGAGCACAACAACTCAATGCAACACATACTGAGCCCTCATGTGTAGTACTCCATCCTTTTTTTTTTAATGCAGAGATACATCTGACACTTGATGTATGTTTTCCCCGTGCATCCGTCTGCCATGAACCCTACAGAAACCTAAGTGTTAGTTTTGGCCCATAGTGGACTCCGTTTGTGTTGTGTAAAATGGGGGAAATAAAAAGTTAGCAAATCCCCATGTCCTCCTCAGAGTATGCAGCCGAAAAAAATATGAACCCTTCCTTCAGACTTCCTTACAGAGCCCCTCCTCCAACACACACGAACGCGCACATGACCAATGAGGGCACGAGATAAGTTTGTGCCCAGATGGAAGGCTGACAGGCAGGTAGGCCATCCAGTTACTTTAGCCGGGCCGGCTCAGATGATTGGTCGTGCTTTTTACAGCGCCACGGCTTCCACAGAGGAAATATTTTTTAATGTATTTATTGTCAAAGCATTTAATGTATTCATTGCTATCGGGATGTTAAGAGCATTCCATGGAATATAACAACAAGTGTTCCTGAAGTGAATTACCTACCCCACCTTTAAGTCATAAATACTGTAGAGAAAACTATTAGATTACACTACACTTCTTCCCCTCTGCTACCGGCCTCATCAACAAGGCAGGACCAGCAAACTCCCTTGAAATGTTTAAAAGCAAATTAAAAACCTATCTTTTTAAAGGTCAACTATCATGCTATTTTTAGGCAATAGCATAGGTCTCAGATATATACAAATATATAAAAAACATGTCTATGAAGTGTTTTGCTCAAAATATCAAACAGATCACCCATTCTAGCCATGCCTCATATCCCTCTATTTCACTTCCTGTTTCAAAAGTGCTGATTTGGGGATAGAGCTTTAAAATCAAACAAAAAAAGGAGGGGTCTGAGCTCATGCGGGACCCGGCAGCTACTGTCTAAACTAAATGCTGCCGTGATGAAACGCCATATCATGGATTATCAAGGATTCTCTCTGAAACAGTTTGGAGCTCAAAGGCTTTCTCTCTTGCCGGTTATACCACAAGGTGAGTTCCTTTTTACTTCCTGCTTCTTCACACACATGCTCTCCAGTACAGGTTAGCTCTGAGTGTTAGCGATGCTAATGTAAACACTGACCATATTACGTCCAAAACAGTCGGGCATTGTTTCTGATAGCAACGTTTCTGATTGGGCCGTGGGTCCACATTTCAGATATTACGTCATATCGGACGCAAATCTAGATCAGCTCCGTTGTAGCCCCGTTTTTAGAGATTTGGGTACGGAGGAAAAGAGAGGGTTTTATTTTCTGACGCTGCGTGAGTTCCCCGACACACCGGGGACACATGTTTATGTATACAAGACATCAAAAAGTGCATTTTGCATGATAGGTCCCCTTTAACATGGATTTTAATTTGGGATAACTTTCAATGCTCACTAATATCATTGTCCATGTTTTACTGTATTTTATTTTAACCTATTTTAATTTCTTGTCAGCTTTCATTCAAGGGAATTTCATTATCTTGTTCTGTATTGATTTTAATATTATTTTAATATTGTTGTTATGTTTTCTGTAAAGCATTTTGGGATGCTACGTGCATGAAAGGTGCTATACAAATAAAGTGTATTATTATCTTAATTGTATTTAGTTCTGCTACGTATTCTTCTTTCTGTGTCTCTGTATGCACCTCATATATAAAAGCAAATTCCTCAGAATGTATGGTGGATAAAGACAATCAAAACAAAATGACTAGTTTAATGTGTTAATGCATGCTGAGCTCATCCCTCTTCCACCATCATATGGGGGAGGGGGGGGTTATCGTTGGGGCGACACGCTGCTTTAACAAACCCATCACGATTTTTTCAGAAACTTCATCAAAAGAGCAGAGTGAGAAACAAACGGAGGCTTTTCTTCTGAGGGTCTTTTGACTGAGTCCTGCTGTGAAGAGGCCATTTATCATCCGTGCTTTATCTACTGCAAGATCTCTAGAAACGCTGGAATGACATCACTGCTGAAATATTTTGGGGCAAAACAACAAACTATTCAGTGTTTTCCATCAGTGGGAAAAGATGTCCAACAACAGCAAAGGGTTATTTTACACAGAGTAAAAGATGTTGGTCAAAGAGGACTCTTTAAAGTCAGACACTACATACTGATATACACCTGAACATCAGCAGGAGAGGACTCTTTAAAATAGAGACACTACATACTGATATACACCTGAACATCAGCAGGAGAGGACTCTTTAAAGTAGAGACACTACATACTGATATACACCTGAACATCAACAGGAGAGGACTCTTTAAAGTCAGACACTACATACTGATATACACCTGAACATCAGCAGGAGAGGACTCTTTAAAGTAGAGACACTACATACTGATATACACCTGAACATCAGCAGGAGAGGACTCTTTAAAGTAGAGACACTACATACTGATATACACCTGAACATCAGCAGGAGAGGACTCTTTAAAGTAGAGACACTACATACTGATATACACCTGAACATCAGCAGGAGAGGACTCTTTAAAGTAGAGACACTACATACTGATATACACCTGAACATCAGCAGGAGAGGACTCTTTAAAGTAGAGACACTACATACTGATATACACCTGAACATCAGCAGGAGAGGACTCTTTAAAGTAGAGACACTATATACTGATATACACCTGAACATCAGCAGGAGAGGACTCTTTAAAGTAGAGACACTACATACTGATATACACCTGAACATCAGCAGGAGAGGACTCTTTAAAGTCAGACACTACATACTGATATACACCTGAACATCAGCAGGAGAGGACTCTTTAAAGTAGAGACACTACATACTGATATACACCTGAACATCAGCAGGAGAGGACTCTTTAAAGTCAGATACTACATACTGATATACACCTGAACATCAACAGGAGAGGACTCTTTAAAGTCAGACACTACATACTGATATACACCTGAACATCAGCAGGAGAGGACTCTTTAAAGTAGAGACACTACATACTGTTATACACCTGAACATCAGCAGGAGAGGACTCTTTAAAGTAGAGACACTACATACTGATATACACCTGAACATCAACAGGAGAGGACTCTTTAAAGTCAGACACTACATACTGATATACACCTGAACATCAGCAGGAGAGGACTCTTTAAAGTAGAGACACTACATACTGATATACACCTGAACATCAGCAGGAGAGGACTCTTTAAAGTAGAGACACTACATACTGATATACACCTGAACATCAGCAGGAGAGGACTCTTTAAAGTAGAGACACTACATACTGATATACACCTGAACATCAGCAGGAGAGGACTCTTTAAAGTAGAGACACTACATACTGATATACACCTGAACATCAGCAGGAGAGGACTCTTTAAAGTAGAGACACTACATACTGATATACACCTGAACATCAGCAGGAGAGGACTCTTTAAAGTAGAGACACTACATACTGATATACACCTGAACATCAGCAGAAGGGGACTCTTTAAAGTAGAGACACTACATACTGATATACACCTGAACATCAGCAGGAGAGGACTCTTTAAAGTAGAGACACTACATACTGATAAACACCTGAACATCAACAGGAGAGGACTCTTTAAAGTCAGACACTACATACTGATATACACCTGAACATCAGCAGGAGAGGACTCTTTAAAGTAGAGACACTACATACTGATATACACCTGAACATTAGCAGGAGAGGACTCTTTAAAGTAGAGACACTACATACTGATATACACCTGAACATCAGCAGGAGAGGACTCTTTAAAGTAGAGACACTACATACTGATATACACCTGAACATCAGCAGGAGAGGACTCTTTAAAGTAGAGAAACGACATACTGATATCCACCTGAACAT